AATTTGGAAAAATTAATAAATTTATACTCACTCAGATAAACAGTCCCCAATAATTGCACTTAGCTTCTTTCCAAATCCAGCAACAGGACCAGATTGCGAGGCCTCCTCCAGCTGAAGCCAATCCTGCAAATATAGCAGCAAATAGACCAGCAGAATTAAGAAGTGCATTAAGAAAAGAGAGATCATCAACAAAAGATCACACATAGATGAGGGGATCAAAATAAAGGTATACCTGATTTTGGGTAAAGTTGCTATACTTTTCATTGGCAATTTCTTCACATCGAACTGTAGCCACCATGACCTGAAAAGGACTTGAGCCATGAGCACTATCACATCTTACAACATATGCCTTGACGCCTATATAGAATGAGTTAAATCAATTACTTTGTGTGCAGGAAGGTCAAGGTCCCTGTTTTCCTTAATAACTTGCCATATCTGTTGAGCACTGAAAGAAAAGCCAGAAGCAGGCACAACTCCCCGACGATCTCCAGCAAGCCCGCCAGGAGCTATAGATTGGTAGAATCTCTGCCTCAAATTAGCAACCTTCATCCATTTACAGAAAGTCAGACAGAGTATAATAATATCCATACATCAGTCGATTAACCAAACTACATTGCAGTTCCAGATTTAGTTTTAGCTTTTAGAAACAAAACTTCAGATCAACTTGGTAGGATTCCCTAGAAAACTATATATTGGAAATATAAGAAATACAAACTTTTCTCTCTGGTTCATTTTACAACCCTCCCACTTCAAACAAAAAAGATAAGAAAGAGGGAAAAGCAGATGTGAAAAACTAACATTAGCCAAGAAGTTTTATCAGGAAAGAGCAATGATCGTCACAGTTGCATTACAAGCAGGCATTAGTAAGACAGAATGGGAGAGGGAGGGAGGGAACCTCAGTGACATACCTGCTCTTTAAAAAGCTCTTCTTTCTCTTCATAACTGGAAAGAGCGACAACTTCAACCTGGCAAAGTTGACAGCAAATGTGACAACACACTCTCGTTAGTCAAATCTTCTAGAAGCTCTAGAGTCAAATTGACGTTCCACAACATGAAGTTGAAAGATTAGCTTACATTAAAAAATTCGCTCAGGGGTGTATCTTTATGTGCTTGTGGCTTGGGAACCGAATCCCATATCTAGCAGGAGAAAGACGGTCAGAAAACATTAATGTCACAGTTGGTCATGGAATGAAAAAGCACAAAGTAATCACCTTTTGAATATCTTCTCGCAGAACTGGTTCAAGATTTTCAAGGGGCGTCTGGTACAAACAGAAAATAGAGATACTGGTCAAGTTCTAAAAATTGCCAACATTCACTATTCATGAGGGTTAAGTTAATTCCAGAAAGAGATAGAAGATAAACTCACCCTTGTCTTATCACGTATCACAAACATCAGAGTTGTTTTACGAGGACTAAACAAGCGCATCATCACCTATAAGAAAGCACCGCCATAAATAAAATTAATGCGAACGTAATCTATACATCAATCAATGTACAAGGAGCCTCGCTGCAGGTCTGATAAAGCATGCTTTCAGATAGCAAAAACAAATAAAACTAAATTAGAGAAACAATGTTGTACTTGGAAAACTGTCTTCAATAGCGGTTTATTTGCTGCCTGCTCACGTCCTATGTCATGGCACCACCTACATCAATTACAGAGTTACTGAGAAAATTCACATATAAGAATAAATATTCTTTTCTTAAAAATAAAAAAAATAAAAAAAATAAAAATAAAAAAAAAGCCAAACAAAATCAGGAAAGCAGAACAAGTAGCTTATGCACTTACATGTTTATAAGCACTATATCGGAAACAGCAAGGGCAAAGAGAGCACTTTGTTTTTCAAAAGCAGTATCATCCTAGAGATGTCAGTAGAAGAGTTCAGTAAGGGTTTAGATTTTTTTATGTAGAACATATCAATGAAAGTGGACGAAAAAATCTGAAGCTGAAGATAAATAAACGGGAAATTATAATCACCTCTCCTCTCTCTCTACCATCTGTACCCTCCAGATCCATAACTAGAGTACAGGGCTCAATCCCAACACATTTTGCTAACCAAATACCTTTGGTTGTCTGAGACCTAGAGAATATAGAATTCCATCAAAATGACTATTTTATCTTTGGTAACAAACACAATTTGGATAAGAACATATCTAATTACCTTCCTCTAAATGCATCCATCTCCCTGAAGTTGGTTCCAAATAAATTATTCAATAGAGTGCTTTTCCCTGTTGTAGGAAAAAAAAATGTGATCACTAAATAAGATGCAGCCACATTAGTCATATAACACCACTGTGCAAGCAAGAAGGGGGTAAAAAATTTCTTAAAATAAATTAAGTGCAGCTAAAGAAGATATGTTCGTAAAAAAGTTCAGCTAATATACAGCATAGCCAAGAGACAATAGTTTTAAGATATACATACATCTTAAGATGCATAAATTGGTAAATTATTTGCACTTAGTTTGTTCAAGCAATACTCCATACATTGTAAAGTCATAAAACAGCATTCATTAAGTTATAAGCTAAATAAATTTTTTCAACATTTTTTTTAACAAAAAGGTAAGACATACCACTGCTTTGTGGACCCATGATGGAGACTATGGCATATGAAAGTCCACATTCTGCCAGCCTTACTCCTTTCAAAAAACTCTCGAGCCCAGCTACATTGAACATACCATCTCCATCAATCAGCTGGGTAGAACAACATCTATCATCATTATCTGAGAAAAATAGACATAACTTTAGTAAGGCAATACATTCATGATTCTAAACCTTGAAAAGAATGTTAAACATAAATGGGATTTCTTGACGATCTGCTTCGGAATATCAGTTTGAAGAAGATAATATAATTTTCCTTCTTTCCCCCAGCCTTAGTCGTCATTAGAAGCAATCGCGATAAGATATAAATTTCAACCAATGTCCATCGATGAATAAACCATTTTAACACTTTCTGAGACCCAAACACAGCATTAAAACTGCAATCTTATCTACAAAAGCACACTAACAGATACATTTCATATTGCTACTACTGTCCAAACATTCTGCCCTCCAATCATTAAGTTTTGATAAAAACAACCAAATTTCAGAAGCAGCAAAAGTCTCAATGAATCAATACACACCGAAACACTCTCTATGACCCGTCATCGAAAGAACTAGAATCTTACCAATGAAAGCACACTAGCAGGAAAACCCATTAAAATGACGATCACGAAGTTCATAACCCCCCAAAAATAAAAGTTTCTAAATAATTCACCTACCAACAGTAAAAAAAAAAAAGGAAATTCGAATAACCCAGTTAATAAAATTAAAATCTTTATCACTTCCCCCAACATTTGAGCCAAACACTAGTCATTTCATGATCCCCAATTACTCAAATTAGGGCAATAAACAGCATACTTTCTAAAAATTAAAGCCTAAATTAATTATCCCAAACACCTGAAAATCACATATAAAGCAATTGCATGAGAAACGGCGCGATTAACCCCGCATTTAAAAGTACACCCAAAAAAAAAAACCGACATTAAATTAATCTAGAAACGAAACATAACCGAAGCAACATCATCAATTGTTAAAAAAAACAGGGAAACAAAATTAATAAATTGAATTGAATTAGATCAAACAAAAACGTAAAAATTCTATCAAATAAATTGACAAGTTAATAGAAAAATACCCATTTAGTCAAATCTGATCCGATTGCGCACGAGGTTGAAGAAGAAGGATCGAAGAAGAAGCGGGAAGAAAGAGAAAATTTGGAGAGAGAAAATAAAAAAGGGGGAAGATGACGATCTCGTCTGTGTGTATAGGGGTGTGAAGAAGAAGGAGATTTGTAGAGATTATTTTTTTTATTAAATGCGTCCGTCGTTGTTGTATTGGTATTCTCTCCCAGAAATTAAATATGGTGTTTTTTTTAAAAAAAATTAACTTTACTCCTGATTTTAATAATTTACGTATCATTGTTTTTGCTATTTTTACTATTAATAGTAAAATTTTATATTTCCAATTTTAGTGATGTAAATATGAAACAAATCCTAGTACCTTGTAAGTTCATATGGTGGGATACATTTTTTTTTTTACTTATTAAAAATGTTTGAAGTGAAATTTATATTACTCGTAGTATTTCTTTGAGAGATATGTATGAATCAAAGTCGACCTAGCGAAGCATTTGTGAATTGTGGGATAAAAATTAAAGAACATCAAATATCTTATCCATATGTCCTCCATATACAATTCATCTCATTACATTTATTATGGAGTATAAATTTAGTTTTAAGAAATTACTCCGTACATTTACTACGGAGTACATTGTGTCAATCAATTTTTGCTAAATTACATAAAACATTCTTTAAAATGTATTTTGATTGTAAAAAACTCAACTGTATTAATCGTATTCAAATACAAGTAAAAAAATTTATTTGGCATGTCATATATGTAACTATGTGCATGTTTCTTGTGTTTTGACAACATCTCATCCCACAAGCTATGTTTCCTTGTACTATTGAGTATTGAATTGACTACCCTTACCCTACTCTAGTGTAGTTAATAAACAAACTAAGAATTATTTTTGTAAAAAAAATTTCGTAAAAAATAAAATTAGAAATTAAAAAATAAATAAAAAGGGGTCAAATGAAATGGAAAGAGATGATAATTCTACAACCTTTCTGCACCGACTTTGGTAGCATGACATTCAAGTAGCCGGCCAATGATCAAAAGCAAAGAATAAGAACAACAAATACATATGCTAATGCCACTGTCAGGTGGGCCCTAATAGCGCGTGTCACTACGCTCTAATCTAGGCCACCTCATAATCATACATTTACTTTCCCAATTACTTGTATAACAGTGTACTAAAACTTGTAATCCGTACTAATTATTATTCTAAACGTTTTTCTTAGACCACCATTCTATTTTTACATTTCTTTATTTTCAGATGTAGATCTAGAGGAGTGATCAAACATAGTTTAGCATTCATGAATGGTTTAACGTGACACGAAACGAGGCGCATGTAATACAGAATAAGTTTCTGAGCATATCAGCAATTCAGCACAGTATATATGACTATTGATTTTGGACGGATTGTGAAGGTCCTAAATGACTGAGAATATCAGATTTAGGAGGAATGGGCAAGAAACTACAATATTCAAGGTTACATTCGTGAAAGGGTCAAACAGTGGGAAGTTTTTCACCCAGGAAAGACCAAAGAATAAAATAAAAGTATCATGCATTCGAAATAGTTTAAGACATGCACCCTCTTCCATGTTTAAACCACTTCTTGTCAGCCGCCTAAACTGTTCTAACATCCTTGAAAGAACTAGGAGGAGCATGTGGTTACATGGGATCGGAATTTGTCCAACTCTGCTAGGACTTCATCTTCTGGTCGGTAAAGCAAATCAATAATGCGCCACATCTGCAACAGATTTAAGAAAGAAAAGAAGTGAGTTTCAGTAAAAAGTGGTAACTACAGATCATTTAAGGGAAGAAACTTGGTCCTCTTGTTGCATGCAGTCCTGAATTTAAGATCATGGAAATTTTCTGATGTTGGACATGAAGCAACAGATGCTCGTTAACTTTTCTACAAGCAAAAGCACACAGTGGAGGAAGAGTGGCAATAACTAGTAGCAAAACAAAGCTATATTCTATCTTCCTTTTATGCTCTATCTTAAAAGCACATTAATATAGGTTTGTGTAGGAGATGGAAAATTATGGCGTACAATAAATGCATGATGTGCCTGCATGACGCACTTAAGTATATAATCTACATAGGGAGCTAAACACTTCAGCCAAATTGATGCTTGAGAATTGAAGTTGCTAGCAAAATTTTGAACAACACTCCAGGTGCAGTGAAGCAATTTAGAAAAAGGTTAATAGCTCAGAGTGGCATAAGACCAAGCTAGCAATAAAAATATTGATACCTGCAATGTTCCACCTCCAGCAGAGCTTGAACAATCATCCGAAACACTGACAATAGTCCATGGATCAATCGAATTCCAGTGGAAGTCAACCACTTTGTCCCTATTCCAAAGAAAGAAAAGAGTATGCAGATGGTATTATACATTATACACATAAATTAAAAAATAATAATAATAATAATAATAATAATAATAATAATAATAATAATAATAATAATAATAATAATAATAATAATAATAATAATAACTTATCAAATGCAAATAAGTCACCATACCTGTGTCCTGCATGCCTGAAAAACAAACCTGCTGGATACTCCGATGTTTTGTTTCCACTATCTGTTTGCATTTTACCAATCTGAGTATTATCAAAAATAACAATTGATTAGAAGTAAGCAGAATAAAAGTGATGAACATGCAGGTAAAATAATGGCAAGGTAAGGGATTGCAAAACAATCATTTCTGCTATAAAAAGTTCAGCTGGAGCCATGTACATATATGGCTAGCCGTGGCTTTTTATTATTTATTTACGTAGAATACCATAGAAACTCTCATCGAAATATTGAGTAGGCATGGAGTTCCATGCAAGCCCACAAGGGCTGTAACTCCTTTCAGCCATTCAGGCATTGTTCTAGACAACATGAAAACAAGGTTTCCCATCAAAGTAGACAAATTACTAAATTAGAAGAGTATATAATTGCTGAAAATTATTTGTTGGATTATAGAGATTCCTCCCCTACATTTAAGATCTTCAACTGAAAGTTATGCCAGAATATTTAATAAGGAGTACACTTTTGTATTCACAGAGATCGCAAATAGACTTTACTGAAGTAGAGTGAAAAACTTCTTCACACCTTCACACAAAAGAATAGTGTATCCATACCTTTTCATAATCCCATATGTTCAACAGGCCATCCTCAGCAGCACTGCCAAAAACTGATCTATTGTGTGGTGACCACTGTATCAAAAATCAAAATAAATCTTTAGATACAATAAATTTTTAGATTCCACAAGATAACCAAATAGGCAAATATATGGAAGCTAGTTCAATAAAGATATGCTAACCTGTACACAAAGGACAGGATCGTTGTGGCCCTGGAATTTATGGACAGGTGATCCAACTCCCCCCGCAGAGATATTTCTCCGATCAAACATGTGGATAGAATTATCAGCTGATCTGATTGCACAAAGAGTTGCGATAGATGAGAGCCAAATCCATACATTCAAATACCAGTAGCAAGTAACAAAAAGCACGTACCCAGTCAAAATGAAATTTTCATCATGAGGATTCCAGTCAACACAATGCAAATCAGCATCATGGGCCTTTTCAACCTGGTGGGACATAATATGTCGTCAGAGATAGCTAAGCTGGCTCAGCAAGCATAAGGGCATTCCAATACTGCTATAACTGCTTAAGATACCATACATATGAATATGTAAGGTATTTATTATAGGGAGTAAAACCGTAAAAGTTAATAAAACCAACAATCTATTCAGACAATTGTCAAAATGTCATCTCTAAAGGAAAATCATGAGCCTGAAGGAGTAATGTACATGATAGAGGAATGGGCATGCTACTTCAATAAGAATATTCTATGAGGGTAAAAGTGAAAAATAATGATAGGATTTAGAGTCCAAAAGAAAAGTTTAACGCAGAAACTAAAAATCTGCCAACAAGAGAGAATTAAGCCAGTCTTTGGATGGGATTTACACGATAATAAAGGAAGTTAAGCTCTATGTCTAAAAACACAAATAAAAAAATAGTTTGATTTGCAATTTGAAAATCTAGGCACAGTTTGCCGATTGTGCAAGTAACATTATGAAATCTAAGTATCTTACAAAATCACCTCCACACCAACCAATTTCCATTCTCTCACATCAGGAATTGGGGTGAATGGATTATGGAATGACCAAGTTCAGAGATGTTACCTTAGTAGCTGGAGTCAATCCAGCTCTTGAATCCCATAGTATTAAGCAAGAATCATCACCAACACTGCAAAACTGCTGAGCACTTCCACACACATAGAGAAAATGTTAAATTTAGAAGAATTTTTTTTTTTAAAAAAAAAAATAAAAAAAAAAACCTAACCCTATGTGTAGAATAAAGAAAGAAAATAAAATTGCAGGACATACAGTATCACCTTGTATACCTCAGACAACTAACTTCTTTTAACTCAGTTACTAATGTCAGGCACAACATTACGATTCCAGATGTTAGGCACTTAAATGTGTGGTCTTATAAAAGAAAATTTGCATGTTATCAATCCAAAATGAAGTGTCACTGTCAAAATTCCATACCTATGTCCAGTTATTGAGTATTTGAGGTGGATAATTGATGTTAAAATCAAGTCCAATTAACTTAACATACAATAGTATAGATGTGATGCTGTTCGTGACTGTAGACAGATGATATATCAGGAACAACTTTTCTTCATACTTGGTCCAGATATTTCAGAGAAACACAAGTTTAGGCACACAAAACAGTGATCAAGCAAGCTACCTAGTGGGACAAAATTGCACATCCTCTACAGTATCATCATGTCCCTTATAAATGCCCCGTGCTTCCACGGAAGGACTAGCTGCATTTCCATTATTTCCATCGCCAGTCTTAGATGCTGATTTTATATTGCTGCCAGCAGAAGCAGATTTTGCGGCCCCTGGTTCTGTTGCCAGCGTTGAGATATGATCATTTATATTCCACAAAACCACTAATTTATCCTTCCCTGCTTGGAAAAACATTGCTAGTTAGTAATATTTTTGTATGGATCAGTTATTGCATTGCTAGTTCAAAGTACACTATCAAGGTGACAATAATTCCAGACGAGTATAAAAATTTACTGAAAAGGGCACTACCAGATGACACAAACAGCAAAATTATACATCAGTAAAACCTAATGAAACCATCATTGCTACGGCCTACAGGATGTTAACATAAATAACTTCAGAGCTCATAATGAAGTAAGAAGACATGAACCCCAGAGGTCAACCAAAAATCACATAGACCCTCATTGAACAGGAGCACAGGACACATAAACAATTACTATAACTAGGCCCATGTTTCAGCAGATCAAACCGGTAGCCAGGCTCACTTAAATAATCAAACACAGCAACAAAAAACCAGCGTGAAGCGAAATAGCTGCTTCTGCGGTTAAGGTAGGTGAGATATATGCAAAAACAGAGACATTATAATAGTTATGTTAGTAATTAAATAATAAGACCCACTTTTCTTGCCAGAGTGGCAAGATGATTTGTCAGATTTTGAAGGTAGATATAGTACTTTCTACATTTCTTAAACACCTAATCAAAATTTTTAAATAGAGAAAGTTCATCAACTCCCACTTGGCCACTTAGAATCGAAGCCCTCTAAAATAAATGGAAGTGGGTGGAGATTGACTCCCTTCTAAATGTTTAATTCAACAATAATAGGACTTATAGTAGTGCACTGTGCACCATACCCTTTTTCTTCTCTTAGGAATTGAAGCTGCCAAAAAAGACACCTTTACAACACAAAGCGCTTCCCCATAGTAGAAAATTAGAAATCATTTAAGTATGCAAAAGATATTTTATTTTTTACAAAAAAAAAAAAAAAAAAAGGTAGACCACATCATATCAAGGTTTCTTATTTAGACCACATTTGAGCAATGTCTTTCCATACATGCTACAGGTCAGTTGCTTATTTCTATTTTTTTAATAACCTCTGCCACCTACCTATGCCATAACCTCAGTTGCTCAACATCCTAAGTTGAAGGTCAGATAAATCTCTTTGGCCAGAAAACATTTTGGAAAATCATTATGTACAAAGAAGGCTCATAAATCATTATAGAGAAAATTGATTTACTCAACATGTTCATATTGTAAGAGCTTATTGTAATGTCAATTTATTAACAATGCAAAGCATGTAATTCATTCTAGAACTAGGCTCAACAGTCAACATTTCTATCAACAATGACAGAAAACTTTGTGGAATCACTGGAGTGGTACTATAACAAAATAAGAGTCACACCTCCTGAAAGCACCATTGGTTCACAAGAGCACATTGCAAGAGCAAATTCAGCATTTTCCTGGTGTCCAGTCAATATCTGCATGACAAGGGATCAAGTAACTATTTAAAGTTTTAAATTAATATTAATTTAAAACTTGAACCAACTAATTATTGCGTCATCAAGAAAAAAATATGTAATATTCAAGCACAAAACATCGAAAAGGTGTAAACAAAGGTAACTTCAGATGAAACCCACCAGATCGGGACGAGAGCTGGGAGCTCCTAGAATTGCATGACGACTAGGTTGATTTTCCACATCCCAAATTAATACCTGAATGGAAGCAACACGTTATATTACTTTCAACTTACTGTATCAAGGAATAGCAGCATGAATAAAGTACTGCAAATAACATGTAAATTTCCATGCTCATGTTATGAACACGCGGATTTAATTAAACAAATAACTCACGTCAGGGCTGTCAGTGTGTGTAGCCACTATGTTACTGTTCTGCGGGAGTTCTCTGATCCTGTTCACCTGAACAAAAGCAAATGTATTAAGTATAGGTACCAAGAAAAAAAGTACAAGGGAGACGATAATGAGAACGAAGTACACAAGAAAACAGAACAGGTACAAGAAGCTCTTGATGCATAAATAATGCAAAACAATCACCACAATTATTATGATGTTAACCATAATCATGCTGTCCCAAGGGAGAAAGAGGTAAAATAAGCAAGTGTTTCTTAAGAGAGCTGTTGATGCATCACTACTTAGAACAAAAGGAGCACTGAAATCAAACTAGAATGACGAAAGAAATCATCAGAAGTATGTAGTAAAACTTAAACTTTAGCAAGACAAACTTGGCCTCTCTCTGCATATACTATATTAAAATTTTAAAATTGAACATCAAGCAGGTATAGCCATGGAGAACTATGGATTAGTTGGGCCTTGGGAGGGAGTGTAGATCAGCTTGTTCTAGAGTTACAATCACCCTCTACTAGTCCGTACTCTGTAGAGATTGCAATCTATCTAAATGAATTCTTACACACTGCAGTTAGAAGGATCTTCACTAACATTTTTCAATAAATATAGTTGGCCAAATGCCACAACAGCTCTCTTTGGGCTTCCATACAAACTTAGTAGTGATCATTATATAAACAAGTAGGGCAATGAAATATGAGCTAGAGATAAATAAATAGTTTGAATATCACTGAAACTTGGTCAAGTTCTCAAGACAACACAGAATCGGAATACTTCATGTGGTATGATTCACAAAAAAGACTCAAATATCAAATCAATATACTTCATATATTATAATATCAGAACATCTAGCTTCCATCAATCCTAGATAACAAAACTATATGAAACAGTTTGAAAGTGCTCAACAAGCAAGGTCACTACATGATTATTAATTAACCCCTTGGCAACGGAAAAATAAGCATACCTCCCCAGGATGTATGATGGTTTTGAACTTCTTTACAAACGGAGAGCGAGCCTCTTCATTAAACTGAGATAACAAAGATCAAAAAAGAAAACGAAGTTTAGAAGAAAATTTCTGACAAAGAAGTTAGCATGCAAAGATGATATTACCTGAGATATATGCTCTGCAGCAGCAACTCTAGGCTTAACCACTTCAACGTTTGCAATAACAAGTGTATTAGGAACACTCCCATCAGTCTGAAAATAAAGATAAGGAGGATCATCATTTAGTAAAAAGATGATAGAACTTAGCAACAAAATTAAATGAAAAGATAAATCATGAGGATGAAATTGCCTGTTCAGAGAGATAAAGACGCTGCCGATTCTTGTAGGTGGCTTGCTCAAGAAGTGGACCCCATCTGCAAAATACAACCATCACATTAACGGTCTAAATTAATGCTTAAAATTTTTAAACTCCACAATCAACCCCCCCCCCTTCCAAAAAAAAAAAAAATTAATAAATAAAAAAAATTAAATGGACATGGAGAGGAACATTGTGTTTGGAAAGTAATTTGATGTGGAAATATGGACTGTCAAGTAAAGTAAAACTACAGCAATGAGAAAAGTAAAATTATAGAATCTACAAAATAAAATAAAAAATAAAAATGTGAAATTTCACTAGTTTAATTTGTTAATTATTAAAAAAAAATCTACTGAATACAGGGTATTACTTTGTTTAAACATTGGTTTGCTTAGTTATCCTCAATTTTTTTAATCACTTTGAAGGGAAATCCACGGCAATCATAGCAAAATATAAGAGAATTACCTAATTTTACATAGTTTTATTTTTTCCATAAACAATTTTAAACAAGACAACAATCAAACACTAAAATTATATCTACACAGCTTTACCCAGATTTCCGCATTAAAACTTGAACCCTAAAACTTGATCCCCAATCACATTGGAGATCAAATTAACATCTTATGTTTTCCCTCAACAAATACATTTGATCAGCACAAACAATCCATCACCAAACATCTTTTAGACTCTCATCATATACTTTCCTATTACAGCCAAACATCAACTCCACAGACCTAAATTAGCTTTCCTTTAAGTGTTTCTGCATATAAGAAAACTGCCACCACGTGTCCACGACAACAACCCAGTATGACTTGTTCCCTTGCAGGGTCTAAAGACCTCCAACTGTACTTAGTCTCACCTCTAACTAGCTCAAGGTAACAGTAATATTAAGAAATTCAAGGATATATAACAATGCAGATCTGCATGTCAAAAACATAAGCTTTTCTCTCATGGATTTTGGTAATGTGCCATTGTAATGTACCTCTCGTTTAATAAGCACAAATATACAACTCTTCACTATATAAAAGCATACATTACAAATCAAAAAAGGGCATACATTGACATGAAAATATACATGTAACCAGAAAAATTAAACTCATGCCACAATCAATAACACACACTTCGTGAGTATACATCCCAGCAAAAGAAGCACATTCATAATCATCACATTGTTTTTAGAAACAATCCCAAAATTACATTTTTATGAAATTACACCCAAATTTCACTCCAAAATTACCCAAAAATAGAAATAAAAATTGAAAAATCCATAAACCCCAGAAAAACCCAACACTCATTTCACCTAATTTGAAGAGAAGAAGAAGAAAAAGGAGAGAGAAAGAGGTATACCGGCAAGAAAGAGAAGGCCAAACAAGATTGTGGTTAGCGAGCCAATCGTAGAGAATGGGTACCAAAGATTTCCACTGGGTGTACTTCTCGTCCACTGTTAACTCTACTCCCTTTCCAACCCTTCCTCCTTTACCTTTCTCCGTCATCTCTCTCTCTCTGAGTTTTTTCCTGTGTTTTTGGTTTCCCGCTTATTCTGCACACCCTACTTCGTCGTCTTTTCTTCTGATTTGCTCAAGGCAGTCAGTTCAGAAGTAGGTGCCCTGCTCTGTATTTGGAAATTAAAATGGGGCTTGGATCATGTAGTCATGTGGACGTGGATCGGCCCGGAATAGATCTACTCACGTATGTGTCTCGTGTTTTATTTGTTTCATCCTTAAAACTTAACGATAAGCTTTATTCCAATGATAATGGTATCAAATCACATTAGTTATTTCGTAAGATTATTCATGCTTGTGTCATGTGGCTAGTTAAGTGTTTCGATGTGATACTAGGTGGCTCGAATTGTCATAAACTATAACCTTATTTTCTACTCGTAGTGAGATTAGAAGTGAGTTAGGATATTTTAATTTGTTGTCATGACTTGACCTAATTTCATTACTTAGCCGTTGTCATGGCTTGACTCGATTGAGCTTACACCATCAAAAAATGGGGTTCTTAAAAAATTAAGCCAAAACAACTAAAACAGTATTTGCGCTAACCCCAACAATCCATTTAACATTGTATGTTTGAATAATAATAACTTGGTTCCTCCAAGTTTTTTTTTTTTTTTGGCAATTTAAGGTACAATATTATTCGAGTTATAGCTATTACGCCTATTAGAAATTATTAGACCTTTATCAGTAAACAACTGACAACAATATGGTAGGCTTGTTTGGTCGGGTGTGCCAGTGTAGTATGTTGTATGAATTACTTGTACCCAATTTGTAGGTGGGTAAGACTAAATGTGTTGATACCAAGTCAATTCTTGTGCACATGAATATCATCACTGCCAAGTACGGAATTCTGGAAGTTTTACTAGAGGGTAGGGGGTGTTTGGCAATTAGCTTTTTGCCTAGCTTTTGACTTTTGGCTTTTAAGTTTGGTCAAACAGCCAAAAAATATGTTTGGTAGTTGGCTTTTTTGTTAGCTTTTAAGCTAGCTTTTCCGCCAAAAGCTAATAAGAGTAGCTTTTTTTATTGGCTTTTGGCTTGTTGGCCCACTTTATCACTAATAAACAACTAACAATCATTAATAATTTTACCAAACACTTTTGAAAACAGCCAGCTTAACACAATAACTTAAAAGGCCACCCCATACAGCTAATAATTCAAGCTAGTCAAACAAGCCAACAGCCAACCGCCGATTGCCAAACAACCCCAAAATCAAAGGAGTGGTGAAATAAGCGACTAAATGCCAATATTTTGTTCTCTTCGCTCTTCCTGTAATAGTACTTAGTGTGTCTTTTAGTGTTTAGGTTAATACTGTTTTTCTTTAATAGTATCTTTTGTCAAAAAAAAAAAAAAAAAAAAAAACCCCGCCTGAAATTATAATTTTTCATGTTCTCAGAGTATAACTTACTCATTAAAGAAGTTTGTGAATTAAAGCATCAGGTAAATGAATTTGGTTTCAAGATCTCCTTCCCTCGCCCCTCGGTTTGTACTTTGTTATCAAACTATTTGCAAGCATATGAAAAATTGCCTAAGCCTCACCTTGGGTTCTTCTCATGACACTCATAAAAAGAAATGTATAAGACCTGTATTGAAATGTCATCACTATCATGAGTTTTGTATACCATATTGTTTGAAAGACAATATACCAGAAGCCTCGACTCTTGAAATTTTCTCCAAGACAACTTGCTAGTTATGTGCCAAAAATAAAGGCTTTTCACTGATAGATCATGAATAAGGATAACATGGTACTTTCAGGGGGAAAAAAACTGAATGAAGCACCAGCAGTCTTTATATAAATACTCCTGCAGGAAGCATGCTTTGAGTACTAGACCTATGATAACCTTGCTATTGGGTGAATCTGATCACCGCTGTTAGAGGAGATAAAAGGGAAGGGAATGCAACTATGCGAGCAGATACGATCAACCTGAACACGGTTTGGGCTTTGGATATTTCTGCCTGCAATTTCCATGTAATCTCTTGTTAGTAGAGAGTTCCACACCGTTTTGAAGAATTATGTCCAATATAACATTAGACGAACAGAAATATACCAAAATGTATCTTTTTTCTCTTGCTCTAGAAACTCCTCAAAGGAGATATCACTCTGCTCGGTATCTGGATTTTCAACTAGTTCACCAGATTTGGCCTTCAAATCCATGGAAGCCCCAATTTCAAGCATCTGAAGTAAGAAAATACAATTTAGAATTAATATCAAAATATTTAGAATGCACAACATTCAACTGTAAGCATGTCAGATGGACAGGACAGTAGTATATCTCTAAGTATCATACTCGAAGATAATAAGATCTTAATTTTTAACCAAACTGAACCACAAGTGTCCCTACCCATTTCTAACTTTCAAGTATTCCATATTGATACCTAATGTCAAATGAAGGGTGAACAATAAAATAGAATGCAGCTTTTGATAAAGCAATTCTGGGACATAGTTTGATCTATTAACCATCAATTCAAACTGGCTAAATCTGTTTTCAGATACATATGGTCTCAAATTAGCAGTTTGAACATGTTACTATTATCCATTTATCCTCTATTCCCTCTTTGTTTCAAGCTGATTGGCGTGTAAGGAATACAATAGATTGGAATCACAAAATAGTATGGAGTAGTTCATATTCATAAGTGGATGTCTTCTATAATATATAAGTGGGAAGTGTCAACTTCCCCATAATTTTCTGATGAGAGAAGAATCAGGCACCAGCAATATACAAATATTAAAAAAATGGTAGTCAGAATATCTCTGTCTCTTGCTCTCTATTGTCAAATTTTTGCCCCTTGGGTGAGAGAGAGAAGAATCAGTCTCTTACTCTGATAGGAAAAGGACATGTAAATAGTAAAATACCTTCTTGTACGCTGGTGAAAGCTTAAGCTGATGCTGAAGCCAGTTATAAACAAATGCATCCTCCTCTAATCTCTTCTGATCTGCCTCTAGCTTGTATAACTGGAATAACAATAAACATCATTTAACATTTGAGTTTATAAACAAATCATGCCGTCTTGCGAACATATCATTTTCTTTTTTTACCTGCTGTCGAAGTCGGTCAAAGGAGGATCTATCAGCCTTGAGTATCAAGGCCTTGGTTATTGTAAATTTACGTTTGATGCCCTCAGACCTGCATCAGAAAAAAAAATTGGTTGCAATTATTTTATAATGTTTATATTTTTCCTGGGAGACAAGGATGGTGTTATTGGTGTGTCAGAAGATGAGATAAATTCTTTGAAAATAGTAGACAAAATTTCATAAAATAAACAACCAAAGAACCATGACATTTTAAAGTCCAAAAACAAGTTAGTCCCAAAGTAAAGGAATAAAAGGACAAGCATTGCAACAAACTAAAGGTTAACAACAAAATTACTGGGTCATAGGTGGGGCACTGGAGCTGGAAGAACAAATTTCCCAAATCAATAAATCGGAAAGACTTACTTGTGCTGTAGCTCATTCTTTGCATCAACCAGGCAGTTAACAAACTGGCAAACCTACAATTTAGGAAAACAAGACACAATTATAACTTATTATGAAAGAGCCTTTTTGCCTAACAAACTAGCCATATTCATCTTTCAATTACAAAATGTAACAGTCCAGATCATTATTTCTCAGGTCTTATCATGGCAATGAGTTCTGTACGCTGGGCTCAAATTTCAATCTGTCAGTACAACTATAATTTATCTGCATCAATATACAAGATTTCCACTCTTGAAACTGTTCAACAAGAGTAGCCTTCATTAAACATCCATACGGCCATACCTCTCTTCACTTTAGAAATATTTTCTAAGAAATTCTCTCAAAAAATAGAAGTCTACAGAGATATAAGATGACATCATGACATACATGTACTATCATAAGTCAAATAGGCACATGAACATATATAGACCACAGATCCCACAAGCAATTCATGCATGTTCACCTGCTTGGCAGCTTGGACACAAATGAAATAAGCAAAATACAATCATATGGCATGGCTTGCAAGATAAATATTGTTTGATGATAACAATCCATATTCCATACATATATACTATAACCTTCTCAATATCATCAAGCTGCTCCCAGTTTCCCCTGGAAGAACCTGTATTGCACAGGCTTGCACATGTCCTCAGCAAGACTTGATACCATTTAACTATGAGGTTTCACGTTCCTTTGCTGATAACAAATGTCATAGCTAAACATTACCATTACCAATATGCCACTATAAACAAACAAAAAAATAATTATTAAAAAAAATTAAAAAAAAAAAAAAAAACCACCTTTTGCAACTTGAAGAGGCCAACAATGTTGACCAAATGTTCTATACAACAAGCAGGTCACAGCACCTCATCCCTGCCACTAATACTAAGTGATGGAACCTTCTTCACCCCCACTTCCCAAGGCTCCAAGGGGAAAAAAATAGGAAGACATTATAACTACCTTACTAACATCTGTAAGATGATGCATGGATTAAAAACTCAACACTGCACACATAATTAAAATATTCATGAGAGAATGGAAGAGTCAGCAATTTCTATCACCTCTTAAGTCGAAAATCAAAATCACTAAGAATTATTTAGAAATGCCACACTCTGGCCTTAACACTCTACAGACAGAAACAAGTGTAAGTGGTTTAAACAGTTAGCTTTGATGTGGTATTCAGTATAACTATCACAGAATCCATACCACTCCAGGTAATATACTCCTAATAATATTGTGAAAAAGAGGGTGGAACATCAAAGAGGACCATATAATCTTAAAATTTATTGAGATTGTTTTTTAGACAGCAAGGTATTCCAACTGAATCACATCAGGTAATGTTAACTATCGCAGCCAAAGAATATTGAATCTCAGGGAGCCTGCTTAGCTAATAGGAATTTCTATATTTCTAATAGTGAGTAATAAGGTATTCTATTAGATGAAACATTCTTTCACCTTAGGGCACAGCTTCTGCCTTCCACCTATTTTGGTTTCTACATGTCTTACATTTCTTTTGAACAAAGTTTCTCTCATGGACAATGGGTCCTAAATTATATTCTTGCATCTTCCCCCTTCTCACATATGTCAACACATTTCGTGGCAAAGACTAACCCTTGTGGTGCTTTATGATAAAGGATTCTGTTATTCAGCCAATTTAGTGGTGAAACTCTCATAAGCCGAAGTTGCCAGCTCCAATTCTAAGCCTAACCATTCTTTTTGTTAAACTGTAGTTAGCTAGGTAGGTATAATTCTCTTCTTTCAAGACTCTACATACTCTATGAAAAGCAAGTAGGCTCAGTTCTTTCATGTTGTAACAAATAACTAATAAGCATTATTTCAAGCACATTGTACTGAAAGTCTACTCAACAACAGTTTCATCCAAGTTGATGATAGCAGAAATGAGAATAAAAAACAAAAATCCGAGCAAGAAACTAATTAGCACCCATTAAATTTATTAGATGTATTATCTTGAAGCCTAACAGATGATAGTCGCTTGCAAGAGTAAAAGGCCAACGCATATCTAAAGCTTGAGATTCTGCTTAATAATTCAAAGTGAGACAAATCATAATAACCTTTATCTAAATCCCAAAATCAGACTGATTCTTTACTCGTAAATCAATCACCTAGGATCAATAACATGTGTTAGCATTTAAACCTTCTCCACTCAACAAAAGCAGGTGCAACTACTACAAGATCATTACTTAAATAATTACATAATACACATGGCAGTTCAACCAAAGCCATAGAAGATAACAATTCATCCAGAAATGTAACCTGGATAAATACTGAATACAAAGCCTTAGTCCCAAAAAATTACTTTTTTTCCAATATTGTTGGGTTAATCTCCATATATGTTTTCAAGATATAATTTTTTATAAAATTTATAAAAGTAGTTAGAAATATTAACACACGTTTCTAGTCAAGATGATGCAACTACTAATAAACAGAGGAAGTACAAATTTTCGACTTCGATAATGATCAAAGCCAATACAATCAACATCAAGAACACTAACAAACATGAACAACAATCGAATGGTTAATCCAAATATAAATTCACCGTCATATTAATCATCATCAGTCATTATCATCAAAATAAGTCAAACATTAACTCAAAAGAAAATTCAGATAAAAAGAAATTAATAGAGAAATTCAAAAACCTGAGCTATTGTTAGTCCTTTGGATTCTTGAGACTTAACAAGCTGATCATATTGTTGTTTGATCTTCCTCTGAGTAACACTAGAAGATGATGTAAATGGGTATAAACACACTAATTTATCCTTATCTAACAAACCCAAACCCTTATTTTCTCTCTCCATTCCATTTTCCAATTGCTTCTGCTTCTTCTTCTTCCCCTTCCTCTTTTTCTTCTTCTTATTCCTTTCAATTTCATCCTCTCCACCGGAATGACCCGAATTCGACCCGGAATCGACACTCGGAAACAGAGCACCCTATTTGGGGGAATTCGAAGGTGAGACCTCCAAAAGGATTGATTGATTCAATTGGGTCGGATTCAATTGATGGGCATTTAGGGTTTTATCTGAAATTTTAGAGAGAGAAAGTTTGAGGTTAGAAATGGAGGTTTGAGATGGTGGGTCATCTTCTTCCTCTGCTCTTTTGAGTCGTTTGAAAATGGAGAAAATGAGAATTGAAATTGAGATGAGAGAGAAAGATAGTAGCAAGTATAGGGTTGGCAAAAATGGGTAAACAGGATGAAATGTGGTAGAAGAAGAAGGAGGGCAACTGAAAGAAGCCGCCATTGATGAAGTTACACTGAAGAATTTCCAGATTTTAGAGAGAGAATATAGGGTAGAAAAAAGGGTACTGATTCTAGTTCTAGTACTAAAGAATTGTTTTATTTTTTGTTCCAGAAAATCTATTAATCTCGTCTTTTGAATGTGGTTTTAAGGTTGGTGGACTTTGCTTAAATTAATCAAAGTTGTTTTTTTTGTACTTTTCGTACCCCCGAGTCCACCATTTATAATTGGGTCCACCTTAATTCTCCCAAATTCCCAATCCGATAAGAGTCTGATGTACCAAGTACCAACTAGCATGTCAATATCTTTTGCTACCGAATCATATGTACAATATAGTATAATGTAGACAATATAGTGAGTTCTTCAACATCTCCACCAACACATTGAGGTTTTTTTAATAAAGCAAAAAAAAAAAAAAAAAAAAAAAAAAATCAACATTAGGAGACTTGTCTTACAAGGAGAATTTTAAATTGTTCATCCTTGTCAAATGGGAATTGATCACCTGAGGGATTTTCATAGCTTGACTAACTTTCGAATTTTGTTTGCTTACCATTAATTGTAGGTGGTGAGACATCTCATAAAATCTAAGGAGTAAGGGCTTGTTCTTTTCAGCTTATTTTCAGTTCAATTCAGTTCAACTCTAATAACTTCAGTTCAGTTCCTAATTTTATCCTCTCATAAAATATTCAGTTTAATTCAGCTCAGTTCAGTAAATCAGAACAGACCCTTATTCTTTATGCAATCAGGAGAAACTCTCATAAAAAAGCTATCCCCTTACTCTCTTATAACCGTAAGCATGTCTGATTTTTTAAGGGCCAATTTTTTTTTATAGTCTTTTTATTTTTATTTGGGCTACTTATTCAAACAATTTGTCATGCTGTTTTTATTTGGGCTACTAGTTCAAACAATTGAAGTCATTTTGTTTTAATTTGGGCTACTAGTTCAAGCCTTTTAAGTGATTTTGTTTTTATTTGGGCTTACTAATAAAATTTTGGGCTTTACTAAACTACAGAGTAAAAACACGAAAAACCAAATGGAAATGATAACTATGCTTCAAACTACCTGAGAGTAGAGCTGTCAATTCGGGTTAACGGGTCAGGTTTGGGTCGAGTAAGAGTGAGTCGGGTCAACTCGGATCAGGTTAATTTGGATTAATTCCATAACCTATGCGGATCGTGTTTGGGTTGGGTCATGCTTGAGTCGGGTCACGTCGGGTCATACTTCTAATCGGGTTTAGGTCGGGTTACATTCGGGTCAGGTGAACAATAGGTCGGGTTTTCACGGGTTAAAACGAGTTAGGGTAATTCTCGGGTTCGGTTCAAGTCAATAATTTGCGGGTTAGAATCAAGTCAAGTCATTCTCGGGTTTGAGTCGGGTTCAGTTCAAATGAATAATTTGCGAATTATAATCAGGTTGGGTCATTTTCAAGTCGGGTCATTCTCGGGTTCAAGTCGGGTTCGATTCAAGTCAATAATTTGCGGATTATAATCAGGTTGGGTCATTTCCAAGTCGGGTCATTCTCGGATTCAAGTCGAGTTATGTTTAAGTCAATAATTTGCAGGTTACAATCAGGTTGGGTCATTTCCAAGTCAGGTCATATTCAGGTTCAACTAAGTATAAATAGGTAATTATCATTTTTATCAATCTAATTATTTCCTTTGACTATGATATATATGGCAATATACTAGGGAACAATAGTCTATAATTTAGGAAGATAATTATCTCCTTTATCCATACAACAAATATATACTATATTTAACTCTTAAATTTGAGGACGATGCTCCTTTCTTTTGCTGGCCTAGACCAACTGGGTCTCCCAAGACAAAATGGTTAGATCAACAATAATAAGGTGGTCTAAATTGCATTTAAAGTGATTTGAAATCAGGCCAGGAACAATTTGAGTTGAATCAAGGTCGAGTCAATAACAAGTCGTGTTAATTTCGAGTCGGGTTAGTAACAGATCGGGTTGAATTTTTGGGTTGGGTAAGTAATAGGTATGGTAAAAAACAGTTCGGGTCAATAACAAGTCGGGTTGAATTTGGATCAGGTCAATAACAAGTCGGTTGATTTCGGGAGGGTTTGTAACAGGTTGGGTTAAATCAGGTCGGGTAAGGAACGGATCGGATTGAATTCAGGTCAGGTTCGTAACAAGACGGGTTAAATTCAGGTTTTAACGGGTTAAAACAGGTTTGGGTCAATTTCGGTTCAAGTCGGCTTCGGTGTAAGTTAATTAAATTGGCCGTTGTAAACCGGTAAATCGGCGCAAGTTGTAAACCGGTAAATTTGACGTTTAAAAGAAAACTGAATGGTTCCACACACCCAATTGGCCTCACGGAAGGTATTAGGGACCATGGTAAACATTTCGGCAATTTTTATTACCCGGCGAAAAAAAAGTCAAAAAGTTCAAAAATTGAAGGCTAATATCCACACTTTTTGAGAAATTTTAGAGGTTTCGGAACCCGGTGTCGAAAAGTCTTGAAATTATATGGGATACATCTTGGGGTCATATAATGCCGTTTGGAATCGTATACGATCATTATTTGTTATTATAAATGTTCGTGATAGGCTTGAATTAATGAAATCGGTTCAAGTTGTAAACCGGTAATTTGGTCGTTTAAAGGCAAATTGGATGGTTCCACCCACCAAATTGGGCTCCCGGAGGGTATTAGGGACCATAGTAAACATTTCGGCAATTTTTATTTTTGGGCGAAAAAAATCGAAAATTTGCAAAATTAAACGCTAATATCCACGATTTTAGAGAAATTTGTAGGTTCTGGGCTCGGTGTAGAATAGTATTAATATTTTAAGGGATACATCTCGAGGTCATATAATGTCGTTTAGAACCTTATATGATCATTATATGTTGTCATAAATGTTCGTAGTAGGCTTGAGTTAATGAAATCCGTGCAAGTTGTAAACCGGTAATTAAATTAGCCGTTAAAGGCGAATTGGATGGTTCCACCAACTTAATTAGAATCCCGGAAGGTATTAGGGACCATGAAAAATATTTCGGCAATTTTTATTTCCGAGCGAAAAAAAAGTCAAAAAATTCCAAAATTGAAGACTAATATCCACGCTTTTTGATAAATTTTGGAGGTTTCGGGACCCGGTGTGGAAAAGTCTTGAAATTTTAGGGGACACATCTCAGGGTCATATAATGTTGTTTGGAACCATATATGATCATTATTTGTTGTAATAAATGTTCGTGGTAGGCTTGAGTTAATGAAATCGGTGCAAGTTATAAACCGATAAGTAGGTCGTTTAAAGGCAAATTGGATGGTTCCCCCCACCCAATTGGACTCCCGAAGGGTATTAGGGACCATGGTAAACATTTCGGCAATTATTACTTTCCGGCGAAAAAAGTCTAAAAATTCCAATATTAAAGGCATATATCCAGTTATCCACGCATTTTGAGAAATTTTGTAGGTTTCGGGGCTCGGTACCGAAAAGCCTTGAGATTCTAGGCAATACATCCCGGGGTCATATAATTTCGTTTGGAACCACATATGATCACCTATTTGTTGTCATAAATGTTCGTGGTAGGATTTAGTTAATGAAATCTGTGCAAGTTGTAAACCGGTAAATGAGTCGTTTAAAGGCAAATTGGATGGTTCCACCCAGGCCACTCAATTGCACTCCCGAAGGGTATTAAGGACCATAGTAAAAATTTCGGCAATTATTATTTCCAGGCGAAAAAAAGTCTAAAAATTCCAATATTAAAGGCTTATGTCCACGCTTTTTGAGAAATTTTGTAGGTTTCGGGGCCCGATATCGAAAAGTCTTGAGATTCTAGGGAGTACATCTCGGGGTCATATAATGTCGTTTGGAACCATATATGATCACTATTTGTTGTCATAAGTGTTCATGGTGGGCTTGAGTTAATGAAATCGATGCAAGTTGTAAACCGGTAAATTGGCCGTTCAAAGGCAAGTTAGATGGTTCCACCTTCCACCCACCCAATTGGACTACGGGAGGGTATTTGGTATCATGGTTAACATTTCGGCAATTTTTATTTTCTGGCAAAAAAAGTCAAAAATTTCCAAATTTGATGGCTAATGTCCACGCTTTTTGAGAAATTTTGAAGGTTTCGGAGCCTGATATCGCAAAGTCTTGAGAATTTAGGGATTACATCTAGGGGTCATATATATAATGCCATTTGGAACGATATATGAATATTATATGTTGTCATAGATGTTAGTGGTCGGCTTGAGTTAATGAAATCGGTGCAAGTTGTAAACTGGTAAATTGGTCGTTTAAAGGCATATTGGATGGTTCCACCACCTAATTGGACTCTCGAGGGGTATTACAGACCATGGTAAACATTTCGGCAATTTATAATTTCCGTGCAAAAAAAGTCAAAAATTTCAAAATTAAAGGCTATATCCATGCTTTTAGAAATTTCGAAGGTTTCGGGGCCCGGTGTCTTAAAGAAATGTGATTTTAAGGGATACATATCGGGGTCATATAACGCCGTTTGGAACCATAAATGATCATTATATGTTGTCATTAATGTTCTTGGTAGGCTTGAGTTAATAAAATCGGTGCAAGTTGCAAACCGGTAAATTAGCCGTTTAAAGGCAAATAAGTTGGTTCCACCCACCCAATTGGACTCCCAGAGGGTATTAGGGAACATGGTAAACATTTCGGCAATTTTTATTTCTGTGCGAAGGAAAGTAAAAAAATTCCAAATTTGAAGGCTAATATCCACGTTTTTTGAGAAATTTTGGATGTTTCGGGGCCTGGTGTCGAAAAGACTTTAAATTTTAGGGGATACATCTTGGGGTCATAAAATACCTTTTGAAACCATATATGATCATTATATGTTGTCATAAATGTTTGTGTGTGGTAGGCTTGAGTTAATGAAATCGGCGCAAGTTATAAACCGGTAAATTGGTCGTTTAAAGGCAAATTGGATGGTTCCACTCACCCAATTGGACTCCTGGAGGGTATTAGAGACCGTGCTAAACATTTCAACAATTTTTAATTTCCGGGCGAAAAAAAAGTCAAAAAATTCAAAAATTGAAAACTATATCCACGCTTTTTGAGAATATTAGGAGTCTTCAGGGCCCGATGTCGAAAATTCTTGAAATTCTAGAGAAAACATCTCGGGATCATATAATGTCGTTTGGAACCATATATGATCATTATTTGTTGTCATAAATATTCGTGGTATGCTTGAATTAAAGAAAAAGGTGTAAGTTGTAAACTGGTAAATTGGTCTTTTAAAGACAAATTGGATGGTTACACCCACCCAATTGGACTCCCGGAGGGTATTTGGGACCATGGTAAATATTTCGGCAATTTTTATATCCGGGCGAAAAAAGTCACAAAATTCCAAAATTGGAGGCTAATATCCACGCTTTTTGAGAAATTTCAAATGTTTCGGGGCTCGGTGTAGAAAAGCATTGAGATTTTAAAGGATACATCTCGGGGTCATATTATTCCGTTTGGATCCTATATGATCACTATATGTTGTCATAAATGTTCGTGGTAAGCTTGAGTTAATGAAATCAGTGCAAGTTGTAAGCCGATAAATTGGTCGTTTAAAGACGAATTGGATGGGTCCACCCAGCCAATTGGACTCCCAGAGGGTATTAGGGACCATGGTAAACATTTCAACAATTTTTATTTCCGGGTGAAAAAAACTCAAAAAAATTCCAAAATTGAAGGCTAATATCCACACTTTTTGAGAAATTTTGGAGATTTCGGCCTTGAGAGTACCAACAATGGAGTAAATTAGTAAAAGCATAGCTTTTGCCACCAAATAATATGATCCAATAGTTTAATCAACAATATAGGAAAAAAAAAAAAATTATACACACAAGTCTTACCCTATAATTGAGCTACATGTTACACTTCGTGTCTATGTCTATGGTTAAAGTTAGCATTCAATCTAATGGCAATAGAAGTCATTGTTTATGCACATAGAAGTCAATCTAGAACATGTTAAAATAATGTGTACAGTCTACAACTCTGCATACTCTAGAAAAGTCTTTATCAAACACTAATCATAATAAATGAAATTTAAGATATTAGGAGTAGTATATTCCTATGAAAATATCTATTGAAGTCACACTTGTAATTGTCTTTTTCATTTATCTTGAAGTATGAGTTAGGACATGTTATGCAGCATGCGTAGTGTTTGGATTCGATATTCTAATGTTAATGCGCTGTTGTGCATGCACTATATGGTCCTTAAACAGTGAAGAGGGCAACACTTATGTACCTACAATTTACATGTGAAGCTACTTTTGAAAAACAAAATACCAAATTGAAACATCTACAAAATGCTGATTAAATGGGACCATTTGAGTGAAGATGCAGAGTAGTTCTTCTGCAGCATGTGTAGTGTTTGGGGCTGCCTCACTCTCTTCTGGTCCGATCCTGCGACTCGAGACGAATGGCCACGTTGTTATTTGGAGAGTTGCTAGGGTTGAACTCTCTCCAAAGTACAATCTCCCAAACACTTGGTACGCACTTCTAAGAAAAATGGTATAGTTGGTCCAAAAATTATTAGAGATTAGCAAAAATTAAAATTTATCCGTAAGAAAAGTCTGAATTGTGAGGGGTAAATGATTGATGTCATTTGATGAAGCTATAAGAGGACCAAAATACATGGTCTATAAAGAAGTACATCTTTATTGAACTTAAACATTGATTACATTTTGCAAATATAATAGAAAACGTTACAAAGCATAAGCATTTACGTACTAAAAGAGGTGGTTGATCATACAACACCCTCGAGTTAATCTAGCCTCTTTGAAGCAAGTTCTTGAACCAATAAGCAGACATCTTTGGATATCTTTTAAGGTCTTTGTAATCAACATACACTATACCAAATCGTGAAGTGTATCCCAATCTCCATTCGAAATTGTCGACTAATGACCAGGCAAAATAGCCAACAACGTTTGCTCCCTCATCGATGGCCTTTTTAAGTGCAAGCAAGTAGCTTCTATAGTAATGAATTCTTTTCGTATCGTGCAATCCTTTTGGAAGAGTCACATTACCCGGATCATCCATACCTGTAATTCATATGGAAACGTAATCATTTTGTTGTTTGCTTCTCAACTTATACAAAAAATGTTGTACAATATATATTCTCTTAAACATTAAGATACGTTCAAGAAACAAATAAGCGCAATTTTATTAGATAAAAAACAGGGCTTATTACCATTCTCAGACAAAATGACTGTGGGATTGCCATATCGCTCCTTTATGTAGGTAATCGCCTTATAAATACCCCATGGTACCTCATAAAGCCAGTACGAGTTTTCCTACAAAAAAAAAAAAAAAAAACAATTGTTGTATATGATCGCGCCTAGCATTATAGATTGTGTACACATACAGAGTTCGTTGCAGATAATTACCTTGGGGCCAATTTGGACACCATTTTTACTAACTGCAGTAATCACCAACATGAAACAATTATGTAACGAAAATATATGTATAGTAGTAGAAAAAGAACATAAAAATAGCTATAACAATTATCATACAATTAAATCCAGCATGCCAGTCTTCTTGGTAGCCCGGCGTCTTTGGCTTGCTTAGTTGATTATACATGTAATAAGCTGTATACTGGTTGATTCCTACGAAGTCCATCGACCCCTTAACCATCTTCACGTCTTCTGGTGTGAATTTCGGTAGCCTATCTCCTACTATATTTTGCATTGTTCTTGGATATTCTCCATACACAATCGGATGTATAAACCTATACATGTATTTTACGAAATTGAGCTACTTTTTGTAGGACTAATATGCACAAAACTATAAGGAAAAGGTTTTTACCATCCAATATGAAAGTCGCGTGCTCTTTGAGCTGCATAATTGTCCTGCTTTCCTCTTGTAAGCGGTTCATACCACACAAAATCAAGCAGAATACCAATTCTTCCCTTCTGTTTCGCCTACAACACAAAATAAGACAATTGAGGCTTCCAAACCACCAGCATTACCAGCCATCTAACAAGTGCAAAAGTACTTACTAGATATTTTTCCCGGTATCTTTGAACTGCAGCAGCATGAGATAAAATCAAATTGTGAGCTGCAATATATGGTTCTGTACCTGAATTCCCCTCAGTACAGTTACCATATTCTTTGGAACATCTTCCTGGAGCAAAAAACCCGTTATCATACCCTAGCGCGGCCACAACTCTAGGCTCGTTGAAGGTCATCCAATTCTTCACTCTGTCTCCATAAGTCTTAAAACAGAAATCTGCATAATCAGCAAAATCTTTCCTGCATGTACAAAGACAAAAATGAAACATAACATCATTTTTTTTTAATTGTACTATAGCTCATTAAACCGTTTATTTCAGAACAATGAACACACTAAAACTAAAATCGTTACATACACAACTCTCCGGTTAAGCAAACCCAAGTATCTCTTCTCGAGGGCAAGAGGGAGATCGTAATGATAAAGATTTGCATACGGAGTTATGCCTACATACAACCAAGATCATGAAACTCTAGTTTAGTCTTTTGATAAATATTTGATCAGATACGCCACGAATATAATATAAACGTACCTCGCTTAATCAAATAATCGATTAGGCTGTTATAATATGCTACTCCCTTCCAGTTCACTTCTCCGGTACCATCTACGTTTGATCATGAATCAAAAGATTGTTAGTTATTCCATAATGCAATAATAATAAACTTTATTTATTAAGATTAATAGAACATTTTTGTACTCACTTGGGAAAATACGTGACCATGAGATTGAGAAACGGTATGCATCCATGTTAAGGTTTGCCATTATATCGATATCTTCCTACACGCAACAGAGAAATATTTTAATTAGTTGAAATGCTGATTTGATTACAGTTTTTTTTTTAAAAAAAAACTAAAGGCTCATTAATCAACTAGAAATATTTTTCACTGCACCGTGAGAATTGTTAGTACTCGACTACTCGTGTAAATGAACTTATTAGTACTTATTTAAAATCGAGAGCATTGTTGGTAACAATATAGGAATATATCGAAAATTCTTTAAGGGATAAAAGTTATGTAACCAGAGTAGAGATATCAATAGGATTCATAATAAGAATGGTCCACTGGCACTCACAGTGTCACACTCACACAGTCACTCTCACACAATTAAGTAGACAAATAAAAATGAAAGAAAAATCGTTTTCCTTTTTTGTTCTAATCCGATAAAAAATTTAATTACAAAAAACTTGCGACAAAAGTGACTAGAATAAATACGTAGTATGAGACTTGAAACCTTTCACGTGAATTTTTAAAGAATCAACACATTACATCAAAGATTAAATACAAATTTGACTGCATTTTCTTTTGACAAATGCCAATAATAAGGGCAAACACCAATGGCCCATATTTTTACTTCAACAGCTTATTTTTGGATCGTGTTTACTACAGTACTTTTACTCCGTTATTATTTCAAAGTGTCTCATTTAATTTTGTACTTTTTCGCGCAGTTTACCTCTTCACGTTAAATTGTCATATGAGATTTTGTTACCGAGTAGAATCAACTCAATGTTTTTAAAGATTAACTATATTTAATTGATACTTGGTATATTATTGATAATATGATACACTATTTATTAAGGAATGCGTGATAAAATCATTAACAATTAATATCTTTTATATGTTTTGTTACCGAGTATGTTTTTTTTAGCCCATCATTAACTATATTTAGGATTGTATTTGCATACTTTATTTTCTCAAATTTAATAAAAACACCATATATGATCATATGACGTGGTGGATAGAGCCATAGAGGATAGGGATTAAGATAATTTAGATAATAATTGTAATAAAATCATGATTACACTTAATTATGGAGATAGAACCAATGTGATCATTAGTTTCCAACTAAATATACAAGTATATGTTTCTAAAAATTTATTGTATCCACAATTATTGCTAATAACTCAATATGCATTTTAATGATTATCAAAATTACTCCCACTGTTATTTAGACTCCATGTATACATAACTTACATTTTCGCATTAACATGTAACATGTTACATGTACGTGTTAGATGTGTATATATAGTACATACCAATTAACATATTTTAAAAATAGGATCCAATCAGCCAATTAACACTTCTTAGAACTAAAGTACTTAATTATTAGCAATGCAATAAAAGTATAAAACCAAGAAAATTATACTTGCATCTAAATATCTTATAATAACAAGGTTGGCTGTTTATGGACACCCGTGTTATTGGTTCCCTAACTTGTTATGTTTGTAATTAAGTCCATTTCTCCATGACGTGGTTAGAAATGAGCATCATGAATAACATCGGTCCAAAAAACAACTGTACACTTAGCTTACTCAAATCTTTTTTATGGCAGCATTTTTTTTGATGTCCTTTTTGTATAATCTTAAGGATAGCTGAGTTGAACAACATGTGGATGTAAATTATTCCGTAAATTAGCTGATTAAATTCTTATAAAGTTGTAATTTGAACATGTAATCAAATCCCGCCAACATTATTATATTAGGATTTATCGATGGATGTCATTGCATTAGGGCTCGTACATTAACATGAAAAACAAAAAGAGCAAGGGGTCAAGACTTAATAAGAGCAACATTCACATGCAGCAATAACTGACCTTGTACCGATGATATTGGTCCACTGTAACATCAGCTGTTGCATTGTTAGCCACAATTCCTGTTTATTTCCACATACAACGAACAACGTTATTTCATAATTGATGATACACTACTTTCATTGTCGACAAAAAATAAACCCATAACAATTGCAAAGTATGTATGTCAGTATGTACACGTATTAATGTGACAACTAAATTTAAATAGATAGTAATAGACTAAATGGCGAACAAGGAAAATAAACGTACCGGGTTTTTTGATGAATTCATCCCAAATGCTGGGGCCACGGCCATCCTTATGAGCCATGCCTTCAACTTGGTACGCAGATGTCGCGGTACCGAAAACAAAGCCCTTAGGGAAGCTCTTTCTGCTTAGCCCACCGGTGTCAAATTTTGTAGCGAGTGTAAGTGTAGCGAGGAGACTAAGAAGTGAACATAATAATAATGAGAAATTTCTCATTGTAAAGAAAAATGATGTTATTTTAGTGTCGGCTAAGGTTTGAATAATTGTAGGCAAAGAAGTGGGCAATTTATAGGACTTGTTGAAAGAGTTCAAAAAGATATTGTGCTTTAATGCGTGTGCCAATAATGGACAGAAGAGCTTCGTTAAGATTTTTTTGGGCCAAATCTGATTTTGGTCCCACCCACAAATATTACATGGATGAGATCATTGCTAAACCATGCTTCATCATGCATGCCTCACCTACTCTTTATTCTACTATCTATGATAGGCCGTTTCAAGGGTGGGAACTCGGAATGAAAATATACACGAGCAGGGATAAGAAGGTGAAATAAGGATACATATTACTACTTCCGTACAGGTTATGTGAAATGATTAGACATTTTTCCCTCTCTATTTTATGTCAAATCGTCGCACATAATCTGTAACTGAGGTAGTATATATAGATGGGGTAAGAGATTTGGATTAGTTTAACGATAGTGTGCATAATAAGGAAATAATCATGTTATCTTTGTTTGGTATGAGTTGGATGTAAGCTGAGAATAATTGGCACTTGATTGTATATCTTCATTAATCCTCTCCTTTTTGCAAGGCGTAATCTATATGAATGTGTTATTTTTGGTAGAATAAACAGGGATTTAATCTCTATTTATATCCCATCACACCATCCTTAATACGGAATATTATATTTATCCTGTTAATCTTTTGTTTGGTTTGAAATTAGAATTGTGATTGGGATGGAAAAAGAAAAACAAGGAACACTCACTATAACATGTATTGTTATTCAAAATCTAAGTTACTGAAATTAAGTTGGATATTACTGAAAATTACTGAAAATATTTTATCTCTCACAAATAACACCCAAAGTTGCAACTAATATGTAAAGGAAGTAGTATCTTTTTTATTTTTTGACAAGATTACACTTTGTACATTAACGAAGGGTTTTCGGTTATTAAAGTACAAGAAACAATGGGTTAAGAAAGAATCATAAATGGAACTTGATATAAACGCGTTAAGTAACAAAATGGAAGCAATGAAAAATTGCCTCTTACTAGGAATTTCATCTTGAAATTGGAACAACAGGATTCAACACATTCTAAATGGTACATATGTATAGCACATGGATTCCTATTAACATCTCAATGTGCTAGAATCGTCTCCCTCAATTTATGGGAGTTGATTCAACTTACTAACATCGGCGCTCCTTTTTGAGCCCACACAACAATGGAGGAAACATCTAGTTTATGTACAAGCTTTGGACTATAATGTGTGTCGCAGAGTTTGTACAGCTTCACTCAAGTCAAAAGCTGAAATGGAGATGGTATGGAAGGACAATATATTAAGGAAGATTGCAAAATCAAAACTTAAATATGGAAAGAATTGAAGAATTTTATTGCACCTTTGACTCGTGTAAGTCAAAACAACTAGCTAGGCACGTCAACTGCAAATTGCTTCGACTGCTAGTCTTTTCATAAAATTTGGACATGGATCTCCTCCAAATAGCTCAGGTTCAACTGTTATAGCACAACCTGCCTGACCAATACATTCCTGTCACAAAAACAGAAGATACTGATATTAGTTAAGTGAAGATAAATGTTTTCATAGGTTTGTCACAAACCAGCATAACTTGGGGAGAAAAAAGATTGGAATTTAAAGAAACGTTCCTAATTTTTGAATTCCTGTTTAAGTTCAAAAGAAAAGCAAGATTCTCTAACTCGGATGATGGCTCGATAAAGATGGCCAAGATAGCATATTTGTAAAAAAGTAGCTACTCAAGTGTAACCTTACCCTTTCAAAAATATCATAGGACTTGTGGGCATGACAGCTTCCTTGATTGAAGTTTCCACAAGATCCTTCAGGCGTCCCAAAACTGGCAAACTTAATCGATGAAATCTTCTGCCCAGGAGTACACCATAGGTGGGCCTTTGGCCGCAATGGTTTGTCTATCCTCCCAGAAGATTTCAAATGCCAGTTCACAAGGTTAGGTTGCCACTCATTCATTTCAGAACAAATACTGCTTGTTTCTTTCTTCATTAAAGAAATCCAGTTTGGATCTCCGCCCATTTCTTCAAATACTACCATCAAATTACCTGCTGGCTTCAGCCAAGACCGAGGAACATGGTACCTGAAATATAAAAATCCTACGAGTCTTAACATAGTTACATAGCATTATAATCAACGAATTATTTGAATGTTTTAAGAGGATTACTCACCATCTCTGAGAAGCATCTCCACAGTAGCTTAAGCATTTCTTCTCAGTAAAATAGCCTGCATAGCTACAGTCGCTGCATGAACCTTTTGCTATATAAGCAGGCCAGTAACGCCCAATGTTTTGTCCGTTAATCCATACTTGACCCTTACCCATGCCACCCATATCTAATGCAAGGGGTTCATTACCAGGTGGAGCATTGAAAATCGTCTGAGAGTGTAAACAAAATAACATCAGTCATGCTGTATTGTCATTACTGAAGTATTCATGAAAGTCGTCAAAGGTTTGAATACTCACTTTATACCATGTAAGCGGTTGCTTTTGAGCAAGAAATTTGCCCTCAACCCACTCAACATTGTTGGCACCATTGAGGGAATTAAGACTCAAAGATTCACCTTTCATTCCAATCTGATAGAAGGCCACAGAATTAGAAAAATTAAATAAAAGAAATAACAAAAGGGTAAACTCGTACAGCGAGAGGATTAACCTTGTACGACCATTTCTGCCATGTCAAGTCTCTCCTCCCCTCATTCAGACCATTTAAAGAAACAGGACCGAGAATACCAGTATTGAATCGTTCATAATGTGGGCCAACATTCTGAACACAAAAACAGAACATGGAGTGTTAATCAACCATATCGACACTATATCATGGAAAGCATAAATGTAACCGACATATTTTCTGTGCATGTGTAAGACAATTATGACCAATGAGCACAAGCAATAGAGAACACACCGGTAGCCCGACAGCAACGCTTAGTAGTGCAATTTTGTTAATTCCAGGCCTCAAATTCACACCTTCACTAAAGGTTATCTTGGGATTTTCAAGACTTCCATAGGCAGTACCTGCCACAAAATGGAAACAATGAATGTTCAGCATATTACCCTAAGAAACATCAACTGTCCACTACAAGTGGATAAGGCTTGCAATTGTATTAGTTTATTGGATACAGCTGACTGCATATTGCATATGTATGATTCCGTCTACTCTGCCATGATTCCTTAAAAGGATTGGAACAATGCCGTAATAGTATGGTAGGAGTATATTGATATGATATGGTAATTAACTGACATAAATGGTGACTTATGGTCAGAGCATACAGGAATAGAGAGTGATTGAACCCTCCACATACTAGTGATGTTTCTGTCCATGAATAAGATTCTATAATCTTATGATGTGCTACGGTAATTGACATCGGATATATAATATGAAAGAAGTTTCTTACCAGCTAGTTGACCATTGATGTAAACATGCAAAGCATGCCCAGCTGACATCACAGTAAGAACTGGTGACTTTCCACCCTTCAAAAATCCTTCGTTGTGGCCAATTTTGACACTGTCAGGATAATTCATAGGTAAGAGACATATCTATTAATTGACTACAGAAATTTCAACAAAAACATAAAGTTTAGAGTGCAAATGTACTTACTCAGTCATATACCACAAGTAGTCAGTCATATCTCTAGTGGTATTAACTTGTTCCACCAGCCCCATCATTGTAAAGGCACTATCATCAGTTGAAGCTGTCTCATCGTTATATGATTGCCAAGAAAAGTGTTGATAAACTGGAGTGAACTTCATTTGTGCACTCTGTGCTCCAATCTGCAACAAGATAATAAAGGTGAATGTCATGACATGATATGCATATACAAGTAATACACTTGCGAGTAAACAGTAATCTTAATATGATAGCTTTTGAAGAACCTTTTCATCCCCATCCTTTCAATTTTTGTCTAACCTAAGTTAAAAGAAACTTTTCTCACCCTTGCAGTGTTGAAGACAGTGTTCTTGCAATCAGGAAGAATGCTTATTGACCAAGGAGGCAAGTTGTAGTGATTATTCCCATATGCCACCTTTGCATAAGATTTTGCGTTATAATTGGCAAGGAATGCAGCACAAGCTCCAGATTTTGACTTAAATTCATGAGCCTGCATGAATAATAAATAGGGGGAAAGTTATTACAAAGTGTTACACTAAAAAGGGATATTATTAAGTTTGAACAGCAGATGATTAGAAAGTTAACCTCTTGGCTGCTCCCTAACCGGATCACTGTTGGATCACTGGAAACTAAAGCTGGCTCACAAAGTTTTATTGCTCTGTGCAAATCCTTTAAATGACCCCATTTTGGCTGTTGTAATAATCCTAAAAATATGAAGAAAAGTTACTGTTTAGCAATTTCTCTTAACAGCAGGTTTAAAACATCAGAAAAGGCCCATAATTTCAAGCAAAGGTGCTTGTTTGTAATTGCACCTCATCTTACCCTTAATAGTATCAAGGATAAAATTGATCACTCATTCATTCGATAGGACAGTCAATAGAACAAGCAAAATCATGTCATTATCCTATAGAGAGTTAAATGCTTGCATGCATATTCCTATAACTTTAAGCATAGACTAGCACATGAAAATCCAATTGTTGACATTCACAACTACCTCGATTACCTAGACATCTATTATGCGTTTGCATCTTATAATTCATATTAATATACATTATGCAAGATTGGAAGGAGATACAATATTAGACAGAAAAGAACATTACTAGGGCGTGAGTCACCGTAATTGATTAGCATATACTAGTATTCAATTTGCAAAAAAGGATTATTTTGGAGCTAGATTGAGTCAGGGAATACTTGTGGTCACAACACCCTTTAGTCTCTACGTATACATAGAAAAAGTAATATTACTGATTTACTGGGAATATACTCTTCCATTCATTCAGGTCAATTAGTCTAATTTTAACAGAGCACATTCTGTAAGATGAATAGAAAGGCATACCAAATTCATCTAGAGGAGCATCATAGTCATAGCTCGTAGCAATAAAAGGACCCCCCGCAGTTCGGCCAAAGTTTGTACCACCATGATACTGAATAAAAAGTATTGTATCATAAGCAAAGAAAACAAAAGGATATGAAAGTTTTCAGCTGGTAAACAGCAAAATAAATTAGCTCACCATATAATAATTGACAAAAGATCCTCCTTTCTGTATGAATCTAGCAACGGCGAATGCCAAGTCCTCAGCTGGTCTCTTAGGAACTGGACCTCCGAATTCTGTATACCTGAAAGCAAAATGAAAATGTACTTGTATAATATATGTTATGAAGCTTATTCATTAGCATTTTGAATGTGTTATAAATATCAAGTATCTCACCATCCTGTCCAAGCCTCTGTCCACATTTTTGGTTTATAAGCCTTGTTTGGAGTGAAGTAATCGCAGTAGAAGCCATTGCAAGTGTTAATCTGCAATAAACATGCAGTTTAAGCTATAGTAACATGTATCATATTAAAAAAAAAAAAAAAAAGTCAACATGCTAGCCCTAGATACTGTCGTCAACCTAAGCGTGTTATATAATCATGACTAGGGTATATAAATACGAATTAAAAATGAAAGTAGTTTGAACATTGAAGTATCCAATACTATGAAAACAAATTCATACTACGTATTATTTTACTCACTTTCATATTATCAAGATCAGACAGAATAATAAACAATACGAGGAAAGGTCCAATTTACAAGAGTCATTAATTTGTTGTCATAATACTCAATGCAGCAAAACAAAATTATATAGACAACAAGCCTAGTGACTGATAAAATAATGGATGGAACCGAGTTAAGCCCATGTGCAATGCCACATACGAAGTAAATAATAACAGCATTTTCAGGAAGCACAAGGACACAACTACGACAGTGAAGTAGCAACCACGATATCAGCAGACTTAAGAGGCACCGAAAACGATTAAATTAGGAAGCTCTTTAATTATATGAACATAACAATCATTCAAAGTTATAAAAAGTTTTGAAAGCTCTTACAACGGGGTCTGGAGCATCGTCTTGCTTACACATGACCCATGGGACTCCAGTAGTTAAACCCAAAGCCATTTTGGCTGCCCAATCAGTGTAAGCTCTTCCAGGAGCACCAAGTTCATTCTCCATTGGTCCATATTCATTTTCAATCTGCCACAAACATTCGATACAAAGAAGTTAAGCTCGAATTCGATTCAAACAGTTTCTTCACAAGCATCCTGAATCAAGCAAACTGATAGCAGAATGAAAATGAACCAATGGGTACAAATGTATTGTATATACCTGTGACAGTATAATTGGACCGCCTTGTGTCTCAAATAATCTTTCAGCTTTCATCATGTTAACAATCTTCTCTGTGAATCTTTGCATCTCAGCCTTAATAAAAACAATGTAATGATATTATAATCAAACCTACTAAACAATTAATCAAAATTATAACACAAACATTGCAATTAATTACAATGAGTCTTAGCTAACCTTAAAAGGCCCATTATCTGTTCTGAAATTTATGCCTGGAACATACTTCAGCCAAACAGGAAACCCCCTAAATAAGAAAAATTAAATTAAATTAAATACCCAAAGACATAGTAGAAGAATATTGAAGGAATAAAATATCTTCCTTAGACAAAATCTTTCTTTAACAGTAAAAAGAACAGAAAAGGGTAACAAGAAATTACCCAAAGTTCCACTCAGCACAAACATAAGGTCCAATCCTTAAATGAGCATAAAGACCAGCTTGGTGAATCAACTTGATGAATTTCACCAAGTCATACCTATCTTCAAAGTAGTACTGAAAAACACACAATTATACTAAATCTTAGTTAAAGAGACTAAAATGGAAAGTGAGTCCAACTTTATTTAACCAAGTTAAACACTAATTTAATAACAAGGGGGTTAAAATTTTACAGTAATTTATTTTTTTTTACCTTTCCTTGTTCAGGTTCATGACCATTCCAGAAAACATAGGTTTGTATTACATCTAACCCACCTTCTTTAGCCTTCTGAATAAGATCTGGCCACATCTGCAAAAATTATAAAAATGAAATTAAATCAAACCCATTTCAGATATTCAACAAAAACAAATACCCAAAATGTAGAAATCACCAAAAATAGAAACTTTTTAACAAAAAAAAAACCCAGAAAAATATCTAACCTCAGGAGTACTTCTGGGATAGTGAATAGACCCAGAAATAAGAATTCTTCTTTGTCCATTAATGATGATAGCTTTATGATCATACCCAACACTTGCATTTACAACTGATAGCAAATTTGAGACCAAAAATGCCCAGAAAATACAGAGCATGAACATTAAAAATGAGGGATTTTTAATGCCCTGCATTTTTGATTAAAAATTTTATTAAAATTTTCTTGCTTAAGTTAGAGCAAGAGTGACACAAAGTTGTGAACTTTTGGCAATTTCTTTTGTGTTTTTATGGGATCACTTTATACGATGCTTGTTTAGAGAGAGAAAGTGGTGTATGAAAAAGAGTGAGACACTAGTCTATGAAACACAGCTGTGAATGTTTTTTTTCTCTTTTCTGCCTTTTTTCTTTATTTTTATTTTGGGATTTTAAAATAAATTGTTTGATTTGGGAAAAATCAAATATGTTGTGAAGTTTGATAATTGAAGAAAGTATGCAGTTTGCAGGTGCTTTTTATATACACTCATGGGGTGCAAGACTGTAGAAAATTGTGAAATTGGGTTTTTTTATTTTTTTTGGGTCCCAGATTTTGGGCATACTTCTATGCGGAGAATCATCCAATTATAGAATTTATTTCTATTGCTTTTTCGTTATTTAAAACATTAATCATTTTTAATGATTTTGAAAAATAATGGCGGTAAAGAAAACAAAATGGGATTTGTTAAGATTGTTCTAATCTTCTTTTAATGAATTTACAAAAACACACTATTTTGTATCTTTTCTTTAGATAACAACCACTACTAATCTACTCGACCACCAAAGATCTATTGATCTAGTTAGAACACCACTGTAAATCGAAGTCAAAGTAAACTCAAAACTAGCACCAATGGAACTTTTTATACACAAGTAATAAAGAGACGCTAAGCATTGTACGAAATCAATGGTCATGAACTTGCATGTGAACCTCAACCATGCAACTTCAATTTCCTACTCATACTAATTAGTTGAATAGGGTACCCTTTAATCTGTTAGGTAATTAGATGTGAATGGAAGGTGCATTATTGATGATGAGAAGGTTGCCAATGCGTGGAGTGTGGCATGTAACACTTTTTTTGTTTGTTTGTTAGTAAATCAATTGGATTTGTTTTGGTTGATTAATTAGGTAATAATCGTCGTTGTCAAGGGTTTTGGCCATCACTAATCTTTGTTGGTTATAAGTCTCCATGATTTACATGAACCTAGACAATACAAGTGTAAAATATACTATTTATTACCTTATTTATTAGTAATATTTTTTTTTTTATCTTTTCATTATATAATTGTTCTTTCTTTATATTCATTTTTTTCTCAAGTACTCCTTATAACCTTTAACAGACGTAGTATAGTATGAGACAAGTATAATATAAAAACTACTTTAAAATTAAGGTTTTTATTAAATTATAACAAAGTTAGATAATGGTAATTCGATCATCAAACAAACATAAAGGATCAATTTTACAATTATCATTATGTCCAACTAGGGCATGTTCATATTTACTGAAATGAGCTTAATTGAACTGATTGGAGCTGAACTGAACTGAACTAATTAAAGCTAAACTGAACTGAACTGAGATGAAATAAATATTTTATAAGATGAGAGAGAGAAATTAGAAGCTGAACTGAAATTAAGTAAATGTGAACATACCCTTAATTAGATACATAATTGAAGACAAAAATCACCAATATGCATATATTCTAGAAAAGTGGACGAAAATCCACTAAAGAAATTAAAGTAGAATAATATCATGAATTCAATCATCACTAAATCCCCAAAATTAAAAATGCTTGTACGCTACCACTTCCATACTTTATTTTGATCTTTTTTGTTATAGCGAATGAGAATCTGCCTCCTTACCAAATAGGCAAATAATAAACGTTATTAACATTATATTATGGGGAGTTAATAAGTTATTGTGCCACTTTTTGACATACAAGTATTATTTTGGACGGTCCAAATGTCCAATGTCCTAAAGTTGTTCTTGTTCCCATTGTTGGTCAAGTGGTCAACATACTAGTGAATGGCAGTACCGTGGCTCAATTACTAGGATCATTAGTTTTCATGTTTTTAATCTTTAATTAATTACTAAAGTACTCCAATTAATACTTCTTACATGGTACACTATTATATTGGAGTAGCTCAATATGGCGTTAATGTTGTTTAGAATCTAGATAGGATTTAAATATGCAATCTCAATATTTAGCACTACATGCCTTACCTCTAAGTTGTGTACAACGGACTATTATACGAAGTATATTTTAGGTTTTTTTTTAAAAAAAAAATTATTATTATTATTATATATATAATAAAAAAAATTAATATTTTTTTTAAAAAACCTATCAATATGTAAAGAATGGCAATATAACATATTAAATTAAATTACGAGTATGTAATAGAAAATCGAGTCATGAATTAGGCATGTTCTCATTGACTGAACTCAGGTGAACTGAACTGAAATGAACTGAGCTGAACTGAACTGAACTGAAATGAATATTTTATAAGAGAAGAAAATTAGGAGTTGAACTGAACTGAACTTCAACGTAAAAGAACAGGTCCTTAATGTATAAATGCAACTTCTATGTAATGACTCAGGACATTATTCGGACCCAACTACTATTTATGAAGGATATATATTATGACGACAAACATAACACACCACGACACCACGTATATGATGATGACTCTAAAACAATAATAATAAATGTAAAAGATAGTATTATTCCTACTGTACTAATTTCAATCTTTACATAATTTGTAAGTATCAATATCATCTCCAGTTGTCATGCAATTGACCCTCACATAAAGTTATAAGCAAGACTCACGAGCTAATCAAATCAAAGCCTTTTCAATTAATGTATAAATTAATTAAACTTATTGATTATGATATGATCTTATCTACTTGTATATGCATACAGTATCTATGTTTGATTAACTATAGCTATCATGCATGTACCTTGGCTAGTAGTTGGCTACCGGCTACTTCATCGATTGTTCTTTTTTAGTTGACTTTTAATACTATTCATATACATAGCTTTTAAGAACGGATGATGAAGTACTCAATCTATAAGTTAGCATTCATCAAAAGACTAAGGATTTCACTTCCAAATCTAGTTATGGATCGGAGGGGTATATATAACAATCAAAGTGTAATACAAATAATTCCTATAAAAAGAGTTAATAGACCTTTAATTCTTTAAGTTGATATGAAAATTCAACATTTGCCGACACTTTAAAAATATCAATACAATCTTGTTTTTATCCAAATGAGGCTCGTGAATTGGTAGGTTTGTACGTATATGTATATAATTAAACTTACATGATTAAACTAATAATATATATATTCCTTAATCTTCTTCATTCTTAAGAATAATCTAAGGTTAGGTTGGAACTTGGAAATATTGGTGTGATATAACTCAATCAGGCAGTCCTCAAATTATTTTAATAATGAAATACAGTACTAATAAATAATTACGGTTAAAAAAAAAAAAAAAAAAAACATGGTAGTGCTAGTGCAGCCATATGTGATAATGTGTATATCCAGAATTGTTGGCTAAGGTGATTCCACATTATCCAAGTTTTAGTCACAAAATTTTGTTCCACTTTATTCCTGACCTCAATTATAGTATCAATATTCAATATTGTTGGGAATTTGGGATGGTAAAAAACCGGAGTAAAAAATAAAAGCAAAAAAATAGATACTGGTAAATAAATTCTTACAAAGTTACTTTTTCACTAATCTATTATCTCACTAGTCCATAACCATTTTATAAATTACTTACTTTTTTGTGGATAAAAAATTGCTAGATTTATTTTAAATAAACATACTGTAATACGAGTATATGATACTTATATATTTTAAATCAAATAAAGTGCATAGTAATATTTTTTTTTTTTGAATAGTAAGTAAGTACATATATTACATTATCATAAATGGAAAGTTCTATCAATTGAAAATGCTCAAAATCACAATGTTGATATAGGTGTAGATAAGTGATAAGTCCAAAATATATTGTAATGTACTTGCTCAAAAAAATTGTAAATAGCTACCCCTTAAAATGCAAAAGGTTAGATTGATTGAATGATTAAAATATAAATCAAGTGTTGATAGATTTTATGTAAAGTGACCTACTTCTACATCTAGTACATTTGCAGGTTTTATTTATGAATGGAAGCATTGCATTAAGGTCCCCATATTTAGGGTATGTTCTAATACGATTATTTTCAATTCAATTTAGTTCATTTTAGCTCAGCTCAGCTCTAATAAGTTCAGTTCAGTTCAGCTCCTAGTTTCCTTCTCTTATAAAATATTCAGCTAAGCTCTAATAAGTTCAGTTCAATTTAACTCCTAGTTTTCTTCTCTTATAAAATATTCAGTTCACATATAATAAGTTCAGTTAGCTCAGTCAATCAGAATATGCCCTTAATTTAAGGTATTACATCTTATAAATTTGGAATATTGATAAATGAACTCTATAGTCTATCCAAACAAAAAGAAAGCAACATGGAACTTCATTTAGGTGGGGAAATAATTGTAAAAAATAAATATCAAAGATTGAGGGCAACAATTCTCCTACATTATTGGACAGACAATATTGTCCCACATCTTCAAGGGTAGTCTTAGGTTGCATGCCTATCCAAAATTCCTTAGTTGGATCCACATATTCATATGCAAAGGATTGAGCTAGGCTTCTCAATTCAAATGATGATAATTTGCCTTATCCCAACACAAATTATTGTATGCCTCATATTTTTAATGTTAAGGCTCGGATGCTTTTTCTATTGAATGTTTGCATGACCGGTATCACAACTATGTTCATCTAAAAACCGATTGATTATGAATATGAATATATATACGAGTTTCGATTTTAAATCATATGGAGTATCAAAATTCTCTAATGTATTGTTTAATTGTTGACATGGCAGTAAATTTGCTAATAGTCGTGAAATTTAGCCGGTGAGTTGCCAATAAATTATGACTGTGATGACGCCAAGCAAAATCAAATCCATTTTCAAATAATAAATAAAAATAATACAAATTACTCCATATTAAGGATATGTTTTCTTCAACTTAATTTCAGTTCAGTTCAGCTCCAATCAGTTCAATTCAATCAGTTCCTAATTCCTTCTCTCATAAAATATTCAGTTCAGTTCAACTCCAATCAGTTCAGTTCAATTCAGCTTAATTCAGTAAATCGGAACAGACCTTAAACTATTAAGGATAATCTTGTTTCCAATCTTAAACAATTAGGACAATGGGCCCAAAAGTAGAAAGAATCATAAAAATTGCCCCAATAGCACCTTCTAAGTCCTATGTTCCTATCCATTAAAAGGGCCCAATTCATTTCAGAATATTATCTAAATTATTGATTGGAAATATAAATATTGAAATATCTCCAACTCCTTTATATAATCAGGGTGGACCTATTAGGATAAGAAGCATAATGTCATTTATAATATTCAACTTAATTATATTGTTTTTGACAAGAATTTGCAAAACATGTTGTTATGGCTTGTTCACATTTACTGAAGTGAGGTGAAATAAATATTTTATGAGAGAAGAAATTAGAAGCTAAACTAAACTGTACTGATTGGAGCTAAACTGAACTAAAATGAAATTAAGCTGAAGTGAAAGACCCTTAGTATCAACATAATTTTATGGAGGTATAAGATAGTATCATAGAAATACTAAGGAGAATTATTAGAATCCTCTTAGACTGGAGCCCGAGAAATTCTGGTAGAGATGTAGTCCATGTATATAGAACCAATCTATTTCATACTTTCGAATGATAGAGAAGAACAAATCATTACACGAGCAATCATATATGATTAATTTTAGGCTTTTGGGCTTTGGCTACAGTTTTTAATCATTATATCATGTGAAGTAACATTTTTATATATTAATTCTATTGATATGTATGTATATATATATAAAGCCAAACAAGAATCAACTACTATAGTTTTCTGTTATTATATCATTAGACCATGAAATTATCATTGTTTGATATAACTCAAGAATGAATACATATACTACTTCCAGCAAACCATACACCTATACACTTCGAACAATTATAATTTGTTTACATTAAGATCGTGTATTAAACCAGTCATAATCTAACTGAATACTGTTGATGTCTCCACACCATCACGGCCATTTTCTATTAACACTACCAACGCTTCCTTTGTATCAACACTGCTCGGCACTGTTTCAGATCGGCTTAGTAGAGGCTTCTGCTCTCTTGGTCTCTTTTCAGTCTTTTGCTTCAAGCTTGAAAACTCCGCTGTCACAAGTGTTGAGCCAGTAATTAGACAGATAGAGCATCAGGCTAAATGACTATCACCTTAGCTTTTTTTTTTTTTTGTTTTTTTTTTTTGTTTTTTTTTTTTGAGGAATCCTAATACTCAATAAGATAAACATAAAAAGGTTTTTCTTCCCCTCCCTTTGAATCCCCCACTTCCAGTTTAGTTCTACTTTCAGCCGGTATTTAGACAGAAAAATCAAGCATTTTAGTGTAGTTAAGTATTACAGCTTAACATGTTGGGCAGAGTCTTTAGAAGTGATGTGTGATGAAATGCTACTACTTAACACTTTGTTTGGATAGGAAACAATGGAAGGAAAAGAAGAGAAGAGAAATGGAGGGGGACAAAATCTCTTGTTTGGGTAAAAGATTGGGGGAAGGAAGGGGAAGGAGAGGGAGGGATCTATTTTCCCTTTCTCTATACTAACCATAATCTCTCCAAAATTGGAGAGATTTGGAGGGAAAATGGAGCTCACCTCCCCCTCCCTTTCTTTTCCCTTCCCTTCCTCCATTTTCCCTCCCCTTCTTTTCCTTCCTTCTTTGCTATCCAAACAAAGCGTAAGTGATGGTAAAAGCTGAGTAACATTTGTCAAAGCATGATGTTACAGCAATGGATGTTCTTGAAGAGACAAGTCAATCAAAATGCAATAATACTGAAAGCTTTCAACCTTTTAACATACCAATTACACTCTCGAGAATTGATTGGTTGGAAAAACCGACTGAGAATCCCAGCCATGACATCATATCCTCCAAGCGTAATGGATTGGTAAGGTAAAGGTAACCGATCTACAAGAGAACAACCAACTGGTTAGGTGAACAGAACTAGTAATGTAACCATGTCAAGCAATGCCCTCAAGGGTATGGACATTTGACACATCATTTTGCATCAAGAACATGGATTTTACTTATTACTTAGCCGAGTCTAATACTCACACATACCTCCTAGACTCCTAGTAAAACAGGTGGCAGGAAATATAACAGTAGGTTATCTACATTAAATGTCCATTTTTAAATTCACAATACCAAACAGTCAAACACAACTACTACCAGGTAGCGATCCTACTTAGTACAATCAGAAGAGTCTGTCAAACCAAATGTAAACAAAGTCATCATTAACTAGTCAAGACAAATTTATTCTAAGAAATTCTTTATGAACCCCAAATTCATTCTAAGAAAATCATCATTAACTACCGGGCTCCTGAAAGTGACTTGACACCTCAACGAATCAATCTATCTGCTGACTAGAGCATGCATAACTCATGCGCAGGTCTACTTCATCTTAGAACATATACAAATATTTCCACCCCTTGACCCTTCTATGAATTCTTGGTTTTGCTCTATGTGATATGGCAAGATGTAACAAAGTTTAAATCCACATGTGAAAAGACAAATTTTTCATACGCTGATATATAAACAGAACTGAGAGCAGGGATATGACGTGAAGCAAAAAAGTTAAAATACTCATGAGAAGAATATTTATTCCGTGCTGTGATATCTGAACAATATAATTTGCAGTAACTGACCAGTGTTTCCAAAGATGAAGCTCTGCTATAAACTGCTACACCAGCACGTTTTGTAGAACGGTTTTTAGATGAAGGAGTGTTCCTTCCCCACCGTAGAACATCCCTATCAATTCCAAAGAGTCAAATGCAATATTAGAACATGAACTGAAGATCAAAGTAATACTTAATGGTGCTTCAAGAATCAAGACACAAGAAGTATGTTCATCTGTGAGTACAGTGACAGTTATATCAAGCAATTAAAAAATACATAATGTGCTACAGATGTAAGATCAATGAGAAAATCAAATAAGATGTTAAGATCAATGTGAAAATCAAATAATCTATGGAGGAGTTGGTCACATAACAGATCCAGACAGCATGGAAAGAGAGAGTTTGACTCCACATAAGACTCTTGGTCCTCATCACCTCTTTGGCTTACAAGGATTTTTATACTCAAGGAGTGAAGCCAGCTCGAGTCATGACATTTCAGTGAACCAGCATGCAATGCAGATTGCCATTCCTATTACATCTAGTACAGATGGAAAGTCAATGAATAAGAAGATACCTTTCTTCTTCTGACAAAAAATCTGCATTACTAAGTTTCTGAAGAAGGGCATCCTGAAAAGTTGCAAACAATCACACCAAACATTAGATCTAGACAAAAAGAGCTACAATATATTTTACATCTAAAATTTAAGTCCTAAAGTACATCAAAGTTAGGATGGTAAGCTCAATTCCATAATAGCCAGTCAAATTTAGAAATATAATCACACTGATCTAATACATACTTAGTCCTAGGCTCAAAGGTGTCCAAGTAGAATTAAACACCCCTGTCTTCATTACTATGCTTATCAAAGGGACAACTTAAGAAAATGGAAGAAGTTCTAATGGCATTTCGCAGATGACTTAAATAGAAAGAAAATGCTGCAGAGGTAAACGTTGGGATTTGACCTTTTCCTAAAAACCCATCTCATATACAGAGTATTTCATAATTTCATCAACTAAATTATATGACACACCACTATCATGATCTAGATTTTTTTGAGAGACAATTGAAAATAAGAACTCGAACAAGTTCGTAAAGGATAAGATAATTCACTTTTACTACTTAGAAGAGACTCAGAGAAACTGATAGAAGCAGCGTTTTTATTATCTAGATGAGCCAAAAACCCACAAATTTAAGATTTTGTTTCAAAATGCAACAATGACAGACCTGTGCCTCACAGCGTACTACTTCCATCACACTATCATTGTAGTCCTCAATATTCAGTGCAGGTGTTAAGAAATGCCTCCGCGCATACAACTGCACATCTCAAATAAATAAATAGTGAGCAAAGAAGTTAATGTTAATTTGACAGAAGTTAAAAAAAACTTTAACTTCATACCCTAGCAATGGTAGAATAATAAGACCAAGCAATTTGAAGCTAATGCAAACAGTTTAAAAACCAATAATCCTCATATGGGATAGGCAATGTTGTTTGTGTGCATTATACAATAAAAAAGAATTGTAGGAGTGAAGCCCGAAGAAGTAAGGACTAACTTAAATTCACAGAATTCTCCAAAGTCTGACCTAATAGACCCAAGCATTCACCAAATTATTACCCCCCCCCACCCACCCACACACATCTCCGTAAAACAGAACCTCCACCTATTTATGAGGAAATCCACGATTGCAGCATAGCCATTACCTCCAGACCAGATCACCAGAAGGATTAATTATACTTCCCTTCGTCTCATTTCCCTTGCCAAATGACATATAAAGTGACTTAAGGGATTAATAAAAAGCTAATGCATGGCAGATAAATGGGTAAGAACTTCCTGCCATACTTACCACACAACATTGTTCACCTAAAAGAAGCCCATAATGTTTCAAGCAATCATAGCACACTGAGCATTACATTTTAATAATATCAGCTACACACACCCTCTATCATCTGTATGCTATGCACCCTTATATATCAACAATTAAAAACATTAATATTTATGGAATGCAATGTGTTCACATGGATTATTAACAAACACAAAATAGGTAAAGCTTAATTATGCTCAACTTCATTCATACAATTTTATAAAGTAAAAGGCATACTTCATATATACAGTCTCCAATAAATGCCAAGGAAGCCGCATTGTGTGAAGACCGAGGTTTCTCCACCTTTGGCGGGCTTGGCAACCATCTCTCATAACCCAAGTATGCCTGCTCCTCCAAGTTAACTGTTTATAAGACAATCGTAAACCATAAAACTCAATATAAGGGATGGCATTTATCAAACACTACCTCCCCACAAAACTCACCATCCATTTGAAGAGCAGCATACTTTCATCATCAAAATCTTCAAATATCTTAGAACATTCACCAAAATAACTAAAGACATGACATAAAAAAAACCTTGTGTACTTCATTGTATGAGCAAAGTATGAAATCCATACTATGTCTGTGAATCTTTTCATAACCATCTTAAGGCATAGCCGAGAATATAACTAGTTTTCACCTGTTTAATTGATAAATGTGGTGAACTTGTGAATAGTAAGTCCTTAAGTCCTTTACACAATTCTCCATCATTTAGATTGTAAGTTTGTAACATAGGAAATTGGAGTGAATATAAAGTGTCACACATTTCCTTGCCTTAGTTGTTTTTTTTCCATCATTCAACCCTAAACTAAAATATACTTAAACATTCATAAGAAATTTCCAAAACAAGATGAAAAAGTTTCTTCCTGGCCAATCAAAAGGAAATAATATACGTAGTACTAGTATGTTTAGCAACAAATTTAACCTAGAAACTCACAAAAACAACCACCATTATTATCACCATCACTGATATTTCTAGAACATACACCAAAATTATCCACACCCAGATGAAAAACACACTCAAATATCATATACTACATCCGGTCCAAATTACTCGCAACTTTGGGGTATTATTTTTGAGATTTAAAATATTTCAAAGTTGCAAGTAATTTGGACCGGAGGTAGTAAAACCAATCATTATCACATTAAGCAACAGATTAACTCAACAATTCAAACTTCCATTAACATTAAAATTCTTAATTCATACATCAAATTTACCATGACCCAGATGAAATTTACACGTTTTTAACTAAAAATTAAATCAATAAGAAGATAAAAGTGCAAAAAAAAACAGTCTTATATACCATTTTGAGGGGTTTTAGGGTCGAGCTTAAGAAGATTATCAACATCAATCTTTAAACGGGAACTCTGCTTGTTTCGGGATTTCTTGAGTTTGCGAGAAGAAATAAAATTGGGATTGTAAGGCAGTCTTTCTTGAGTATCCCATGATGCTCGCACCAGGAGCACTCTTGAGCTTGCTAACGCCATTTTTCTTAGAATTTTCAAGCTTTTATTTTTTATCATCAACGAAATTGAGCTTTACATTTTTTTTTTTTTTTTTTTTTTTTTTTTTTGACGAACGCAAATTAAGTAGTTTACACTTATTGGAACTTTTTGGGCTTCCTTTTAAAAAAAAAATAATAATAATAAATAAATTGGGCTTTTGTGTTTTTTTATGTGTTGGTCCGATAATTTTTAGAACCTTTTGCCTCCTTGGCTCCTTGCCCTTGGTAATTATCGGGCCAATCAACGTTGATGTTTAACCATTGATTTATGAAAAAATTGAAAATATACCTAGGTAAAAATTTGATATTTGTGAACCTATATTGATTTAACAATATATTATATGATAATATTTGAACTCTTTTTATTTTTATTTTTGTATAAATATATGGCCAAAGTTAATACAAAAATAATGTAAAAAGTCAAAGTGTGTCAATTATTCTGAAACGGATGGTGTAATAGTTTATACCATTTACTTTACCTTTAAGTGAGTAATTTGAATTCTTAAAAAAAAAAAAAGTGAGTAGTTTGAAACATGTCCTAATGAACTATCAAAATCCCAAATAACTTTATTTTTTTGTATAATTCAATAAGGATTTATAGTTAAAGTTAATAAATTGTGACTTAGTAAAAAGAAAATAGGCAAACAATTAGATACGGAGAGAGTAAATTTATATACTACCTCCGATTTTTTTTGTTGCAACTTTGGGGTATTTGAGTGATATGAAATATTCCAAATTTAAAACTAAAAATAATCGGAGGTAGTAATATCAATTAGAAACGAAGAGAGTATGGGTGTGTTTGGTAAAAAGTTTTTTAAAGAGCTTTTAGCTTATTTTGTCCAATTAGATGTTTGACCAATTAAAAAAGCTAATTTGGGTGTTTGGTATATAGCTTATTAAAAGAGCTTTTTGGGCTCAAAAAGTTCTTTTGAAAAAAGCTCATTATAAGAGCTTTTTAAAATTAGCTTATTGTACAATTAGCTTTTTGTTTCTTAAATACACTAAAACAGCTAACAATTAACAGCTATTAACCAAACATTTTTATGCAATAAGCTAATCATAACCAGCTAGTCAAATCAGCTACTATAACCAGCTAGTCAAACTAATTATTATAATCAACTAATACAATCAGCTACCAGCTAATTACCAAACAGGGCTTATATAAGATAAGTTGATAATGGTTAAAACAAATTGGTAGCCTCATTAAATGTGTTGGGTAAGTGACATTGAGAAAAGAAAGGACTTTCTGGCACAAGAGTAATGAGTAATGACAAATGTCAGTATTACTTGCATTGCCTCACTTTATTAATGACATGAACCAAATTTATCAAACTTCCTACTGAAATATCCTCAACACCTACAAACAAGAGGAGCTTCAAAAGCCATACTTCTTTTAGGAGAATATTAAGTTTTTTTTTTACTAGTCATAAACACAACTTTTTTTTTTAGTTGCAAAGATCAAAACACCTTACAATTATATAAACCATAATATTTTAGGTGGAAAAGTTTTATATTATATGATCATCTATCTAAGATAATAATCATAATGCCTACAATTTCAGGTGTTTTGTCAAGCTTTCCATTAATGGTGCCTCCATCAAAGTTAATGAGAGGAAGATCAATCGATAATAACAATGCCATAAACCTTTACAATTTTGGCACAAGTTTACCTTCCCATGTTACAAGATTGCAAGTTAAAGTTGATAACTTTCAAGACCCTTTGAAGATCAACAATTTTGGGAAGGTATGTTTGTATATATGTACTTCTATTTTATGCTAAGCTAAGCTAAGCTAACTTTAAGTGGATTAGCAAGGTAGAGTAATTTTATATTATTTTGATTCAATATATTTTATATCCATATCTTGTGACGTGAGACTAATCGTGTTGCTGATTGGATTGTTAATGTTGGTCACGCATATTCTACCAGGACGTGTTAGGTTTTTACGGGATTATTTTTTAATAGTTGTGTTTTTTTTGTAGACTGTGAATCATGAATTGGAAAAAAGAAGGTTTACACAAGATGGTTACGTGGTGGGTCAAAACTTCTTGGTTAGATTGTATGAGCTTGATATCCATGAAAAGGCTTCTTTAGAGGCTTTGCTTAATTATACACAGGTTTGTCGTTATTTTTACTTTTCTTTAGTTTTTTCAAAGTTATCAAATAATCATATAAATACCTATTATAAACATAGTATTAGTAGAAATTGTATTTAATAAAAACTCATAGCTTCATTTCTTCCTATACTATTTTAGAATGTTCCAAACAAAAAAAAATTCCTTAGTCACTATTCGAGATGATTGCTTTATTTATTTTCCGTAAACTATTTGAGATGATTCATTTTTTTAATAAAAATGAATGATTGATTGCAGGAAACTGGTTTAAATCTGTTTCAAAGTTCGGGATTAAGGGTAGAAGGGTTTGGAGTGTCGAAGGAGATGAATAGTCGAAATCTAATTTGGGTGATTGGAAGAATGCAAGTTGAAGTTGATTCTTACCCTTCATGGTATGCCTTTATTACGTTAATATTACTCTTAACTAAACATTTACTCGTTTCTATGACTCTATCTATTGTTTCTACTTTCACTTCTTCAAAATGCTAATAGTTACAACAAATAGTTACAACAAATAGTGACCAAAAGGAGTATTATTTTAACTAATCCATGATTAAATAACCCAGGTAAATTTCTTATGCGTGTTATGATAACTTTTTTTTTTTGTTATGATTACATCATATTAAGTCTTTAAATTAATGCTACATGTGTACTTTATTTTGAATATTATACTACATGTGTACTTGAAAGACTTGTTACCATAAATATTCTAACCACCAGAAGAAGTTGTTCTTCTTGCATAAATTTTAAAATTTTGGAACTTGAATGTACTATTTTACGCTCCACCTACCAATTTAATGGAAAGTGTTAGATCGTACCAAGTATTCAATACTCATGTCATTGATTGTCTTCATCAACAAATTGAAGAAGGAAATTTGCATCACTCACCGAGTCACCACACTAACATAGTAAATTAATTGAACTCGATTACGTATTCGGGCACACCTAGTGTTTGGTGTGCATATAAGAATTTTCATAATTCGAGAGACTAAGGGTCTGCTCTCATTGACTGAACTCAACTGAACTGAGCTGAGCTGAATTGAAATGAATATTTTATAAGAGAAGGAAATTAGGAGCTGAACTGAATTTCAACGTATGAGAGCAGGCCCTAAGGACATGTTCTTTTCATGTTAATTTTGTTCATCGGTTCCTAATTTCCTTCTCTCATAAACAATTTATTTCATTTTAGTTAGAATCAGCTCCAATCAGTTCAGCTCAGTTCAGTAAATCAGAACATGCCCTTAGAAAAGCAAATAACATGATATGAATTTGTTAAAGGACCAACTCAACCAAAAGCACATTTGTGTTACGTTGGCTCCGATACCATGTTAAAAGACTAACTCAACCAAAAGCTTAAGCTGATGATTGAGGCCCAGCAATATGTTTTATACTCTATCAGAATTTATAATGTGGTTGAAACTATAAACAATAGAAAAGGGTGTGTAGTTTTTAACTGATGTTTCTTATTTTAGGATGCTTCATTTTACCTTGGTATAAAATCAACAAATTTTCGAAAATGTTACGTTACGTTTATTAATCATATACGTACAAATGACGTGGTAATCGTGGACCACGTTGTAATATTACTTGGAAGTTAATGTTGATTGGAGCCATTGGCAGGGGAGACATTGTTCAAGTAGAGACTTGGTGTTCAGGCTTGACAAAACATTGTCTCACTTGTAGCTCAAGACTAACTGATGCAAATACAGGAACCAAGATCATGCGAGTTGACAGGTTTATTTCCAAAGTTTAATAATAAACTTACAAATTAATTAGATTGAAACAATGACAAGTTCTTAACTAAGTTATGAATCTTGATGAATATGCAAATGAAACATAGTGAATTTGTGATGATTAATGAGAAAACGAGGCGGCTTTCAAGAATTCCAGAGGAGATCAAAGCAAGTGGAGATCCTTATGTAAAAGATTATCTTGATCCCCCTTTAAGTGTTGATGATAAACTCAGGAAATTACAAAAACTTGATGAAGATAAGGCAGATTATATTCTTAGAGGAATAAAGGTATCATTCTTATTTAAGAACAAGTCTTTTTATTTACAAGTATGTTTTTATTGATCTTATTTTAACAAATTGCAGCCTTTATGGTTCGACTTGGATCCCAATCAGCATGTGAATAATGTCAAGTACATAAGCTGGATTCTAGAGGTAAATGCTATATTATACTCGTATTGATCATGAGAATATAGCCCTTTAGGTATATATGGTATCAATAATTTCATGACTGAATTACAATAATGATGCAGGGAACCCCAGAAGCAGTGAGGGAGAATTATGAACTCAGCGCGTTTACTTTGGAGTATAGGAGGGAATGTGGGAGAAATAGTGTGCTGCAATCTCTTTCAGGGGCATCTAATGAAGTTCCTAATGAGTATTATCATTTACTTCGTCTGGAAAATGGAAATGAAGTTGCAAGAGCTAGAACCCTATGGAGGAAGTCCAGTAAGATAGAGTGTAACTCAATGAATTAATTAATCGCGTTTTTTTTTTTTGTTTTGGGAGTGAAAATTTAAAGGGGTTTGGGATGCATTCATCACAAGTTCATAACGAATTCCTTAAAACAACTGATGAATCATGTGACATTAGGGATGGTTTATTTTAGGACCACTAGAACCACCCCTACCTAAATTAGTTTCATATGTACCTATGTACTCAACTTCGTCGCTTTTATTAGTTTCAGATTAAGACCAATGTTAGCACTGGCTTCTGAGTTGCCACTCGTGAATGCTTAACTATGTTACTAGGTTGGATGCCTCATTTCACATCAAATATTTATGTCAGATCCTTGACACTATATATGATGTTGACGCTATGATAGATTTTGATAAGTTTACGAACACTAGACTCAGATAATTACCCTGGTTAATCTCTTTTCATTATACTTTCATGCTATTTTTGGTTTACACTATTATTATTTTGATTTTGTTATTTTGTGAATAAAATGCTATTTTGATAAGATAATAACTGTATGTTAAAATGACTCGAATCTATGAAATTGCAAAAAATCAGAAAACAGGAAGCGAGGGATGCTTAGAGAGCTAGTGTGTGTACAAAACTGCAAACCAATCAACTAACTAACTAGACTAATATGAAAACTAAGAAAAGTAAGCAATAAAATTAATGGGATTAAAGGTGCAGGCACTTTCAAGGGTCTTGTACTCTTGTTTAGTTGATGAGCTTTCTTAAGTGCCCTAAACTTAGCTGCTATCTCATCATAATCTGGCAACTTCGGGTGTACATGCTTCCGAGAAGAGTAATTCATCTGTAGTGGCAAAGAATTTGATCGTGACATTTCTGTACAACTCTTTATCACCATTATTTCACGACTCTGAGGCATCGTTGCAGCCCTTACATAGCTCTTGAGAGCCCTACTCTTACTCGGTAAAAGGGTATCCATATAATCTAACTTCAAGGGTGTTTGAGGCAAATCTATTGCTTGGATTTCTTCTTTACCTTGATAATTTGCATTATTGCTGTTATTGGTGTAAAAATAGCATGGTTGATGTAAGCTACATCTTGATTCAAGCTTCTTACAACCCTGTTCGAGTAAATAAAATTTCTCCATTTGCTCGAATTCCTCTTTTCTCTGATACTTCCTCCGGTTATCAGACTTATAACTGTAACAATTCTCACATTCGACGTCTTCTACAATCTGAGTCTCCGTAGATTCTGATCCCCACCTTATCCTTTTCCTAGCTAATTGATCACTGTGTTTGTCATACAACGAAGATGATCTAAACACGAAGAATCTTTGATCCTGATCCAAACAGTGCATGCTGTTTCTTTGTTTGGTAGGTGACTTGAACTCCTGTATGTCGTCCAGGTAAATCACTGAATCCTGATCGGTGTACTGATGCTCAATTGAAGAACAGCCACTGCCTGCGGCGTTTCCTGTCTGATCTGATTTAATTACTTGAATAGCACCAGCTTCACACTCACTATAAGGAGTACTCAGTAGCGCGAAGCTGTGCACTTTTGCTTCTTTCAGAGCCTCTGCAATAGAAGGGTAAGACTGCAGCACAATTGAACAGCTAGTGGAAGTACTGTCAAAATTTTTATTGACACTACTACCTTTCCCTTGAGCTTCATACAATTCAATAGCCTGCAGTGAACATCATGCTTAGCTCGGCGATTACATGAACAACTCCTAGTTGATTCCTAGGACTAGGAGTGGTTTTAGAAATCCAATTATAATCTAAACTACCCAAAAGATCAAATTTTAATACAGGATTGGACTAAAATGTACTCGAAAGTGTTTTATCAGTGCTCGTGATCATGTAATTTAAAATTACTACCTCCGTTACATATTAGTCACAACTTAGAATTTTTATGTTTGACAAATAATACACAACTAATGTGAAACAGAGGTAGTAATTGTCGTACCTTTGAGGATTGAACTTGAGAATCTGGCTTGTATTCAAGGGCTAATAGCCCTGGTTTGAAGAGGGAAACTTTGAGTATTTCATCCAACAGTCTGTTCTTTACATCTTCTGAAACTGATTGTATGGTCAGCTTGTCCCTTACCTGCAGTTTCGACGAAACAATGTAATGCTGAATTGCTCTAATAACACTACTGAAACAAAAGCAAGGATAGCAGACCTGAATGTTAACAAGATTTCCAGGGTGCAGTTCCACTGCAGCAACTGTAACATTCCGGCCATAACGCTCCTCGAAGAGCTTCCTGACAAGCCTAAGCTCCGGAAGATCACCACATCTCACTGAGGCAAATATGAGGGTCGAAACAGCCTCGTGCACATCCTTAGAAAGGTCCCTTCAATATCATATCAAGGGCAATAATTAATGTGATGCTATGTACCACCAATCAATATTTTGAGATATCTTAATAACAGGACAAATATAACATACTTGTGTCTACGAATGTACGAAAGGTTGAGAATTATGAACTCGGAAAATTGTTCCAATAGCTCATACACTAACATCATATCCTCATCTATGCATAATTGGTCTAGCTGCATAAAAATAGATAGTAATATTATGAAATGCTAGTAAGTGTTGTGAGCAAATCCGAGCAATCTCAAACTCGACTCGATAAAATAAGCAGAAATTTACCCTGTTGTAGGCAATGTGCTGATATCCGCTCTTCCAAAGCTGAGCAATGTCTTCTCTTAAATGCCGGATGATAGCCAATCTTTTGCTTCTTAGAAGCTTCAGTCGACATTGAACTCTCTTGATTAATTTCTTACTGAATAATGAAATCACATATAAATAATTGGAAAACTACAAAAATATTTAAGCAAATCATATCAAAACGATAATGCAAAGTGTATTAATTATCAAAATTACCACTTAGAAGCTTTTCTCCATCCAAAAACGATGTCAAACATGTTTCTAGTCTCTCAATTCTTATTGAGAATATTATCAAAGCATAAGCTCATAACTTAGTTTTAATGGTGAAATTAAGAATTGAACCTTGATTTTAATTACTATATTTACGTGTGTTTTTAAGAAGTGGTTAATCTAGAGTAACCGCCTACCCACGTTACATCACTAGAGGAAAATTGCTAGTTTAGTCAACCCACGTTTCAATTTCATGAGGAATATGGCGGATATTTTTAATTAACCTATGCTTAATGATACTTTATGCATGTTTAGGTAATAACTTTTTTATTTAACGAGTTTGGTAGGAGAAGTAATTATTGGAGTGCATATATTTTGGTAACTTCCTTTGCCCTTCTACCTCAATTTTGATTCAGTCAATAATCAGTTTACCATGCTTTGTTATTGATTTAGGTATCGGATGACAACGATAAAGATGGTCAGATGTTCATCGAGATGGTAGCTGGCAGTCATAGCGTAGCGGCGTTTCCGTCTTAATTAGGCCATCTTTGTTTAGGTGTGACGTTAAGAGTAGATTAGTAGCAGTGCAGCAACTAGTAGCACACAATTTTGATATATAATTGAATCAGTGGAGTGTTTGGTTGCTGAATAACCTAAAAATTTAAGATAGCAAGAACTACTTTCGATTCTCAAATATAAGTATCTCTGTTGAAATTTTGGTACTATCGGTATTACTTCTACAGACAAATATTAGACAGTGTAGCACAATATTAATTTAAAAGAAACTATCAGAATACGACATAACCCTTCAAATGTCATTTGAAGCACCATTCCTAGTCTCATCCAGTCATCCAGCAAACGATTACAGAAGGTGGGTGAATGCTAAAGGAAAATACACACGTAAGTTGAGGTGGTGGAGTATAAACATCATGTCCCTTCATGTAACCTCTCTCTATTAGCTCCAAGACCGACCAGTACTGTAACGGCTCCTTCGTTCTGGGATACCACCTGAGGCAGAAAACAGAAAAACTGAGATATTTGCTGCGATGCAGAAAACAAATAAGTTCCAACATTTCAATAATACTTGTAAAATATTGCTACATACAAGTATGAGATAACTTTCCATCAGATAAGGTTAATCAGATACAAGAGAAAAATCCTTCATCAATTTAAACGAAAAAATTACAAAATCTCCAATAAACCGCTGCTGCTGTTAATTCACCAAACTATCAGACGACTAATCACAACCCAAGATCTAATGCGTTGTAGTGGAACAAAGTCTAAAGCAGATTTCAAGATTAGTAGACGAATAAGTACTCGACTCCTTACAAACAACTTACCAGCTAAAGGAGGTGGAGCTCCTTTGCCCATAGCAGCAAGCTCAGGATTGACTTTCTGTCCAGCTTCCTCGAGAATGGCAATAAGTTCCTTCGCAAATCGGGCATTTGCTGCTGTAAAAAAAGAGTATGCTGTTCCTTTGGCCCCAGCCCTCCCTGTTCTACCAATACGGTGAACATAGTCTTCAAGTGAACCAGGGAAATCATAGTTGATCACATATTTCACGTCTTTCACATCTGCACATACCAAATCAAAAAAAATTTAAGTACTAAGAAAAACTTCCCCCGTCCATTTTTGTTTGCCCTAGAGGAGCATATTAAGTTTAGGGCATATTCTGATTGACTGAACTAAGTTGAGCTTATTAGAGTTGAACTGAACTGAATAGAGAAGGAAATTAAGAACTGAACTCAACTGAACTTATTGAAGTTGAGTTGAGCTGAACTAAACTGAACTGAAAATATGCTAAAGAGAACAGACCCTTAGTCTCTCTTAGTTGGATGGATTTACTGAGAAAGAAAGCTGGTGGGACAAACTCAAAGGAACGACCCCAATGAGAAAATTGGTTGACTAGTTCATCTCCCAAGGGACAGAGGGTATACAACAAGGGCTGGGAAATTAGGATGTTTGTAAATATATTCAACAAACAAGGGGTAGCAAAAAGCACTTTGAAACTACGGCTACATTACTTGATCACAGCAGAATAAAAGTTTCATCCAACAAACCCTAGTTCACAATTGGGCTTAAAAAACAGTATCTTTCCCTCCTTACCTTAATTTGTAAGCCACATCAAGGGATCACAGCATCACACTTCACACATTCCACATGACACAACACATAACTTGTGTATACAACTATCTTTCTGAGATAAATCAAAAGAGGGGAACACAAAGTCCCCTAGCAGCTTGTTTCTAGCACGTAAAATATTTCAAACATTGTATAATTTAGCTAGTGACACACTCACAACAAACAAAAAGTCAGAATAATTACCAAACAAGTCCTCATTGTCATCGGCAAAATTCAATTATTTTAAAAAGGAACAGGGACACCATAAAATTAATTATGCCTCATAAGAGTCGCAACCTTTTATTGATTGCACCCACTAGGCTTACAAGGTAAATTTGTATCTGGCTAGTTTTGATAAGAAATCACAGTTCTGGATATTTGACCTCACAAGTCACAACCAGCTCCTGAGTATCAGCTCTAAGTTTGTTTGTAGAGAGCTTATTACATAGCTCAAATCTAGATTTCCATTTTGACTATAGAACAATAGTACATTGGCAATTATATGAGTTTGCTAGCCTTTAATTAAGAAACAAGGAGCTACAGGTCTTTAATGTAGGCATCAAGAGGATAGGAGTACCAGATTTAGGCATTAGTTTAAACAAGAAGATAGGAGAGCCAGTTCAATCAAGAAACTAAAAGCAAAGTTTCTATTGCTTATGTTAAGACTCAGAACCAGTTATGGCCTTATGGGCACAGCTAATTTGTTTGTATAGACCATGAATTGGTGATGCAAGTGACGCATATATAGCTTTCCTTTTTTACTTCTAAACAACAACAATATAATATGCTCATCAATTGTCCTTCGCTCCAAGCCTTCAGTCAAGAATGATGGGAAATACTGTAATGAAACATCAATAATTGGATGGTTTAGAACAATATAGCATATGCATGAAGAAACGTACCAAGACCACGAGCCGCAACATCTGTAGCAGTCATTATAGGACTCTTGCCAGATTTAAACTCTGAGAGCACCCAATCCCTTTCTGCTTGGCTCTTATCCCCGTGAATCGAAAGAGCAGGCCAGCCATCCATACGAAGCTGCCGTGTAATCTGATCACAGCCCTTCTTAGTGTCCATAAATACCAATATCCGGCTTCCATCCATTATGTCCTCCAGGAGATCCACTAGTCTAGAACAAAATACGAGAAAGCCCAGGCAGCAGCCATTGTCAAAAGCCAAGTATTTAAGCTGAGATTATAAAAAGGATAAATGATCTCCTTACTTCTTATACTTCTGATTCTCAGAGACGATCTCCACGATCTGACGAATAGCATGATTAGCCTTTAAGTCTAGAGAGCCAATGATCACCTACAGATGCCCAACAAAAAGCTACTTAGTAGTCTCTCTTTCCACATTTTTGAAACAGGATTATGAGACAAGATTGAAAACAGGGTACATCCACAAGAACAAACTAGAGCAAAACCACTTCATGAATATAATGGAACTATTTTCATCTGTGAAAATATCTGATATCTTCAACAAGCATCATCAGATACCTCAAAACAAAACATGGGAGCGGGGAAAGCGAGATTATTTCACAGATAACAACAATATAATTCAATGGACTAAATCTCAAACAAGAAATTCTTCTTTTCCTGGTATGGTGTGGGTGTGAAGCCGACTCATTGCTGATACTTGGTAGTACCAAAAAACCCACCTACTTTAAAAGTCACCTCTATTTTCAATTTTAAATCTTTCATCCCAAATCCCAATAATTCACCAAGTTCAACTTTTCGAGATTCTTCAGTTTTTATTTCCATCAAAGAAACCCAGGTGGTTTCTAGCCCCAAATTATAAAATTATTATGAAAAATCAAATCTTACATTCTTACCTTGTATGCATCATGCAGAAACTTCCTAGCTAATTGTTCAACCTCCTTTGGCCAAGTGGCACTCCAGTATAGCGTTTGACGGTCAGGTCGGATCTGCATTGAGATAACAAGAGGTTAAAATCATGTCTACCAAAAATGAATTTTAGCAAGTTACCACTTCTTGTCTAGTCAGGTGGGTAAATCCACATCTCAGGACACGAATTTAGAACAAGAAGTTTAGAGATACAAGTACTAATGCCACATACCTGAGTAACAATTTTGCGAATCTGGGGTTCAAAGCCCATGTCAAGCATTCGATCTGCCTCATCCAATACAAGGTACGTCACCCTACGCAGATTTGTATGGTTAGATTCCAACATATCAATCAACCTTCCAGGTGTTGCAATTACTATCTCGACACCTGCAGAGAAACAGTACAACTTTATGTGTAAGAGACCCGACCAATTAAATGATCAGATTCCTTAACGCAATAAAAAAAATCAATGTAATGAATATGAGTACCACCTAAAACAAGTAGCGCAGATCACGAAAGTCGCAATATGATAGGAAAGGATCTCAAATATCCTTGTCCCCTCCCTTTGATGGACAAAGTCATGTCAAACTCAAGCAGCACCTACCTTTCTGGAGATCACGAACTTGAGGTCCCTTAGGAACCCCGCCATATATGCAGGTATTTTTAATCCTTGATGAAGTGCCAAACTTAGTGGCTTCTTGTTGTATTTGTACAGCAAGTTCCCTAGTTGGAGCCAGAACTAACACAATTGGACCATCACCGGGAGCTGATGAACGACACAAACTTAAGTTAAGGCAATTCAAAGGCAAAGACAGACATGTTTAGCAGAATTATAGTATAAGACTGAAAGAGAAGCATGCTTACATAAAATTGGCTGAGCATTGACATGTACAATAGCAGGTAGCAAGTAGGCAAGTGTTTTCCCTGATCCTGTTTCAGCAAGACCAATAAGATCACGACCCTTTAGGGCCATTGGCCATCCTTGAGCTTGAATAGCAGTGGGTTCAGTAAAGCCAGCTTTCTTAACCTCTTCCATGACATAATCTGCAGTTGATAAGGCAAACCATTTATAAGTCAATAACTGGATCTAACACCCACAAGTGCTCCAGACCAGCAGAGAGAGACGCAGAAGTGTAGACCATTGCAGAAGCGCCACATCAAAACAGCAATCTCCGTAAATCTAATTTGTAAAGCTCAGCAAGAGGCAATATCGTACACAGAGTGCAATTTGACAATCATCCAAGAGATGATTGTTATCCAAAGACAGAGAAAGCAAGGAAGGGATATGACATGACATGACATGCCCAACCTCCTTAAAAGGAAAAGACACCGGAATAAATATTTCATGTCAGTAATATTGGTGATCCAATACAGAGAAAATTAATGTCTTTAAGTTCAGGGTGGATGTCCCGGTCCCGGGAGAGGATTTAGGTGGTTAGTAATCCAGGGCACCTATGCTAAGTTCCTACCCTCCACAACCAAACCCACAGACCTAGAATATCTTGGTGCGACAACAAATTCAAAATTCCATTAGATAATCGTTTTCCACTCACTCAAAAATCGCTATGTATAATAGAAACAATCACGACAATAATTAAAGAATTGGAGCAGCAAAAATTAATGAAATGCAGTAAATAAAAGCACAAGAGAGACCTGGGAAACCGATATCGGAGAAATGTTTGATAGGTTTGGGAACATCACGACCCTCGACAGTAATCTCCCTAAGTTTGCGATACTCTTCAACCTCGCTATCAGTCATGGCGGCGACAGACGAAGACTCCACATAGAAATTCTTCTCAAAAGGCGTCAACCCATCCAAATCCAGCTTCCGCTGCGGCGAGGAGGGCGCCCCACTCCGACCATATTCGCCGCCGGTTGAACTTCCGTAATCACTGCAAAACCACCATTGGAAAATCAACAAAACCATAAATTAGATGAAATGGAAGATAAAAGTGATGAAATTGTGATTCTAGGTTAAGGAATTGGGGAAGAAGAGAAACCTGCGGCGGTCGCGGTAGGAAGTAGGGTCAGTAGAGCGAGAATCGTAACGGCTCATTATTTGTGTGTTAATGGAGGAGAGAGAAAGAGAGAGTGCTGAAGAATGAAGATGGTGCGCAGATGCAGTCGAAAAAAGAGAGGAGGCTTCTCGGAGGTTTTATTTAAGATTTTTCGTTTTTCTACTTAGACAGTCTAGCCATATTGTGACTTTGGGACCATTCACTTTTACTTAATTTTAGGTTTAGTTTAGTTACAATCAATTCAATTCAATTCAATTCAATTCAATTCAGTTCAGTTCAGCTCCAATCAGATCATTTCAATTTAACTCAGTTCAGTAAATGTGAACAGGCCCTTTATAAAATAATATACCAAGGTTGGTCTAGTCAAAACCCAACTTGAGTTTGATATCTAACATGTGAGTGCATTTTTTATACAAATTACGGAGTTCACTATAGTGCATCAATATAATCATTACTAGATATGCTAAAAACTATATAATGAGTTAAAGATTAGGAAAATGTTATAAAATCAAATAATGATAAACTTTAAGAGCACTTTATTTTTTTATTATTTTTTTTTACTATAACTTGTTGCTTAAACTTACTCTCGACTTAAGCATGTGTGATCTATGATTCAAGCAAATTAATTACGAGTAAATGAGTTCAATTTTGAGTCATTGTGAATCAAACTACCTCAAGTTCAGGAATTTGACCTCAATTTGTTAAGTTTTTAGGCTTCAAGATTAGACTAAGCTATAATGTGAAGAAATCAAGATTAGACTAAGTTATAATGTGAAGAAATTAATGAGCAATATGGGTTTAATTTCAAGTTAGTGTGAAGAAGAATACCCTGAACGTGAGCTTATTTCTTTAATCAACCTAATAACCAGAGTAATTTGGCTAATACGTAGTATAAAAAAACCATCATTTAATAACTCAACATGCATGAGTGCATGAGCAATTGCATTCTCATTATAACCCAGTGGTTTTGCTAGTTTAGGCAAAAATAATGGATCTAATCCTCAAAATGAAATAGATGTTTTTCTTGTATGATTTCTTCTAAAAATAGTTAGTTTGTGTGTTATTAGGTCATTCAGCCAAAAGTATATTTAAACCGATGAGTAAACACACACTCAACACATGATACATGTAGCTATGTAAGTGCATCAATGCATTATAGTAGAAATTACAATGCATAAAGTTACAAGTTGAAATTCATCTTCACCCTCTTTCACACTTAATAGACATACATGCCACATTTGGAAAGATAAAATAGAAGATTAAGAAGTGATAGATATATAAATGACTTTTCTTATTTGACATGAGTTGATAATAAGATTGAAATAAGTGTCAAAGTTATCAAAATATCCTTTTCAACCCTTTCCTCCTCTGCCCATTCACTAAGGGTAAAAGTTCTTTTTCCTCCCCGATCCTACTTAAACCAAAACCACCAATTGATTCTTCTTTCATTATCCACCAATGATCAATTCATAAAATATTAAGTTATTCCTTGTTCCACTCCATTCTTAAATATTTTAATTAGTTAAATAAGGTGTTTTATCCTTATCCTTATAATTATCTCTATCCCTATCTCATTTAACCTGACACTGAAACACTAGACCTCTTCGACCCATATAGCATACCCCCTTTGACTCATCGAGTTATCCCTAAACCAACGCCACATGGTCCATTAGAGAAGATTAGAACAATACAACATCCCATTCGATGGGCCTCATAGTCATAGCAACACAAGTGCAATGAAATAGGCTATCGGCTATCCTCAACAAGTCTACTCAAAGGGCGGCGTAGCAACAACGAACCCAACCAAGCACCAATTGAGAAAACCACAAAATCCCCTACGAATTGACAAAACTCTACCCTCTTTCATAGTTTCATCTTCCATTTCTCAATCTCACCAGAAATTTCTTCCAACAGTCAAAAAGTAAAAATGAGCGAACCTCCGAAGTTATACGTTCACAAACCCAAGAAAGGTATATTATTATTCTTCACTTCTATTATTACTTGGTCTAATTTCTAGCTGAATTTTCCAATAAAATATGTGATTGATTGTGATTTGTGATTGCGACCCACTAACAAAGATGGAATCTTGTTCTTTTCTTCTTGTAATTTTATAAAAATGGCTCAATTTATTTGATTGATGAAAACAGCTCATTTGAAGCAATCCAAAGTAACAATGGAAGCCCAATCATCAACAGCAACACCATCATCTTCTTCGTCGGGTGGTGGTTATGGCGGTGGAGCTTCCGAGCCTCCAGAGGTTCCAAAGCAGTCTTTTTTGAGGCGGTATAGGTTCATCATTCCTCTCATCTTGTCTGTCAACGTTGCTATTGGAGGTTCGTTTCTCTATCTTTCAGTTCATATTTTGAGTTTTGGCATCTGGGTTTTCTGTGATATTGCTTGTTTTGTTTGTTTAGGAAACTGAACTGTAATATTTAGATGCAATTTTTGTAAGATGGGATTTTAGGGTCTTAATTAGTTTGGATGAGAATTGCCAATTTATGGGGTAAAGATTTTGAACTTGATTTGGGTTTAAGGATTTAATAGTAATTTGGGTTTGGCACAATCAATTTTGTTTTGTGTGAGAATGGAGATTACTTTGCAGAATGTTTTTGTTGATCAGAATGTTGTGATTAGTACATCTGAATTAAATATTCTTGCTGACTTTGATCTTGGAGAGTTGGACTGCTACCGCGATTAATAAAGGTTGCTATTAGTTGATTAGATTATGCATTACAAATTACAATCTAGAAAACAAGGTAGACTCCTCATTCCAAGGGATTAAAGATGGAGGATCAAGCATGAAGGATTAAATTTGACTTCCTGTATTTGTTACTTATGGGCCTGCAGATGTAATTTGCTGATAATGCTGTTGCTTATTTGTGTGAAGATGATTTCCTTTGATTAATACGAGTAATATGAAACCCTTCACATGGCTAGTGTGGCTTTCACTCAAAAGTGAAAACAATACTTTTACTCGTATATGCTAGTGTATGCTAAAATTACTCTCTCCTTTCTTCAGCCCCCGGTTAATAGGCCATCTCTAATATATTCCCCTTGGAGATAATAGTCCTATACGTACTCACCATGGTGCCTGATGATTGATATAGAATAGACTCATTAATAAAAACTTCCTTGTCTGTTACTGTCAAACTAGATGTAGCCACACTTGTTCTTTTCAATCAATTTGTCCAATCATACATACATCTTGCCTGCATATATGATTGTGTACCATCCTGCTTGTATGACAAATATAACCCATTATCTGCTGTTAAGCTCACTAAACTGTATGTCCATCATTATTCTTGCTTTCACCTGTTTAGGCTGTGGTTCGGTGTCAAACCATTGTTATGGCAGTATCATGCTGCTTATATTCTATATTAACCTTTACTTTGTATTAACGTACTGCTAATAGTATCTAGCTGTGGAATTGTCTAAGTTGTAATTTAGCATTTGTTTTCCATTGAGCTGTAGCAAATACTCTAGTTTCTTAGCATTTGTTTTTTTTTTTTTTTAATATGATTTTATTGCTATAGTGTGTCAAGTGGAAAATTTGAGAAGTTAGTGGTTTTTGCCATATTAAGCTGGTAACTGGTAAGTGGTAACTGGTAAGTGTGTTTCGCTGAATCTGTGCACCAACAAAGAATGAATTGTACTTGGCGTGTTAAGCAGAGAAACTTTACAAAATTGATTGCTTATACCATAATAAGCTGGTAATTGTGTTGTGAATGGAAATTGTGTAGTAACTACAACAATGACTTGTGGCTTACGAATGTAATATTTATTTTTTGAATTATCATGCCTTCAGTCAGGGATGTCTTATGTTACTAGACTCTGAGATGCCTTATGTTACTAGAGTCTGAAATGCCATATGCGACTAGTTTTTAACTTTTTTTAAATCATAAAATAGAAATATTCAACGGCATTCCTTGGGAAACTCACAATATTCCTTGAGAAATGCATATTATCTTTGCTGCCTTTGTAGGAATGTGATCCACAGTGAGTTTAGAATCGGACCATTTGGATCATGGAATAGCTAAAATGGTGACGGATTTTTGCCGTTTGGTCAAAATATTTTAAATTTGTGCTTCCCTTAATTACAAAGCCTTCAAATATGGGTTCTAAGGAAGAGGCTTTATTTTTCCCTGTTTAAACTCTTAAGCTTCACCTCATTCTTCCCATGCTATTTCACATTTCCATATGCCTGCTTTACTAACATGACAAAGAAAGTTTTCTCTGAGTTTGTTAATGAAATTCTCAAAGCCAATCACATCATTTATTATTGTTGTTGTTTTTTTTAAAAAAAAAAAATTTATTTTGTGGCTTTCAGATTTATGCTCGAACAATTTCTGCCCTTTGTTCCTAAAATCTTGCTTGTAGTTGTTAAGGATTGTCATGTCAGCAATGGTTTGTTGAGTTCTCTTTTTTATCCTGTAGACTTTTGATTGCATAACCTTATTGCTGTTGACAATATGATTCCTGCTTTATAGAATCTCCTGCAGCATTGTTTGTTATAGTTGCTTCAGTGTGATTACTTCTCCTTGTGATAATTTGTTATCACATTACTTTGTTATCACATTCGTTAATTTCTGATAGCTGTCTGTTTGTCTTATAGCTTATCTGTTTATGAGGACTAAGAAGAAAGACATAACTGTTGAGGAAGAAACTACTGATGCAACTCCCACTCCCACACCCTCAACGTCAAGTGCAACCCCAACAACTGCTGCTGTTACTGCGAGTCTGCCAGCAGCACAAGCAACTAGAGTGCGAGAACCAATTCCTGAGCAGCAGCAAAGGGAATTGTTCAAGTGGATGCTAGAAGAAAAGAGGAAGATCAAGACAAATGACCCTGAAGAAAAGAAGCGCATCGATGAAGAAAAAGCTATCCTGAAGCAGTTTATCCGAGCCAAGTCCATTCCAAGTATCTAAAAATTTGTGCAGAAACAGGTGCTGGAAGGATCAGGTATTTTTTTTTTTATTGGTTTTCGAGGACCAGGTTTAAAACTTTTGCTTCTTTAAGGTGCACAATAGATTTACAAGTCTTGTATTGTTTCATGGTTAACTAAATCATGCAAGTATATTTTATACCTAGACCAAATTGTAATTTCTGTGTGATGAAAGTTTTATTGTGGTCATCACCAACACCAACTGAAACAAGCATATAGCATTACTGTATATGAATTTAGGTAACTTGAAGCTGATTTGACCCAAAGCAAACCGACCTGAAATAGATTGATTGTGTTGATTGTATATGTAATACTAATACAGAGTGTGTAATGTCATGAAGAAGCAGCAACTAGCAAAGTAGACGTACAGATGTACAATTACAATTACAAAAGGTTAGTATCATTTTACATTCTTAGAACGGGAAAATTCCTGCATGATCCAGCTTTGTAAGTCAACCAGTGAAATGGGCGAGTGATTGTGCAGTCGACGATTGGTTAACCTCCGATGAAATCTGCAGTTTCTGCACATACACTATTTCTAAATACTGGATCGCCCATATAGGCTAAATATTTAGAATTTTTTATATTAATCGTCATCCACTTTCTAAATTTATTGATTGTTTTGTAAACGAAATTGTGATGAACAACTTATCAGAACCTGATATAACCTCAACTACCAAAAACTGATTAGCTCACCTGTCAAATATAGCCTGGAACACTTTTCTGGTTGTTAGTACGGAATCCAACCTGAAGTTCAAAAGTTTATGTACGCAATAACTATCATGAACTAATCAAGGAATGAATCCAAAATCTTTCGAGGACAACTGCAGAGTATATACGAGTGCCAAACTGTAACTGAGACTTCATTTTGTATACATTGATATGGATCATTGGACTGAGAAAAACTCATACTTCGAATTTGATACAAGTTTTGATTTTTGGAAAGAATTTAATATATGCAATATACAAATTTGTTTTCAAATGTACGTTTATTATTTTTGGACATCAATATTATTTGTTACACCTTACACCTAAATATATGAATCTAATGTACGCATCATAAATTATAATATGGGTGACAATTAGCGCATGACATACTTTGCGCCCAAATAATTATAAACTTAAAAGCAAGTTGACCATATACATTAAGCGCCTATTTCATATGTAAAGTAGAGAATTGAATGAATGAAAGAGGAAGTATCTTAATGTGATACAATGATTACATATGATTACAAGTGGTTTTACAATATCTAAAATATGTATATATGATACATTAAACAATGATATAGTATAATTTGCCATAAAAAAAATTAAAGTTAATATTGTATGAATTGAAGTTAGGTAGGTAGTCCTACAAAGCAAAGATGAAGTGATGAGCAGTTAGCTATATATGACAATTGTATATCGCGTTTCAATAGTCAAAATAGAGATTTTGGGGCTCCAAAAGAAGGCCTTTTCAATTATTTAGTTTGCTTAAGAGGAGTTTAGCCCTTAATATTATTCTTTTATTCCAGTTGATTTAAATGATGACCTTTAGACTACTATGTGGAACAATAATCTTAAGGGTCATTAATCTTTATTTAAGATTCTGACCCTTAATTTGGAAGGTTATAGGCAACTACTAATCTACTTTATAGTATGTGTACATTCGTCTCCCAACTGTATTCTTGATTTGTCATTTATGTATGTATAACATCCAAAGTGCAATTTGCATTCCAAAATGAGGTGTTTAATTATAACTAACTTTTACAATAGCAATAGCCAAAAAACAAAAACAAAAAACCTTCAAAATTTTAGAACAAGGCCTAAAACTTGTAAATAAAAAATCATGCGTAGTATTGTTAAGTATTACTATACTATTATCATACTAAAAAAATGAGTGATTTTCATAGAAAAATTCACATAATACTTCACTTAGAGACTTGGAGTGCGTTTAATTAACCTGAACTTATGTTAATACATTTAATGATATAGGGTTTGTTCACATTTACTCAACTAAACTGAACTGATTGGAGTTGAACTAATTTGAGTTGAAATGAATATTTTATGAGAGAGGGAAATTATGAGCTGAACTAAACTGAACTAAATTGATTAAAACTGAACTGAAATTAAGTAAATATGAACATACCCTTAAACCTATAATAAAAGCTTTGGCATTATAGATGATATATGATCACCACACTAATAATTAGTAATCGAGGGAAATACGTGTGCAAGTGCATATTATAATGCATAATATATTGAAGATAATGGGGATGGGGGCTCCATTATCCAAGTAAGCCTCTTCAAACTTTGGCCTGTCAACAAATATATATATGTGCATTTTTAGGGGAGGAATGGAGGATTTTAGGTTTGTTTTGTTCGAAATGATGGGAAAGTGTGAGTTGGGGGGTCGAAGTTTACAATTAACTATCACATGGACGCACGAGGGGATGAGGGGACGCCCTTAATTCCACTTAATCATGGTTCTAGGCTTTTGGGCCGTGGTCAATTATCATCGAACTCATTCCATCTATTACGACATACAAAGTATAAAATAAACTTCTAAGACATTAAAGTTGTGAAGGAAAGTAGTCGTTTATACTTTATTTCCTACATACAAATATACTTTCTCATGATTTTAATTTTTTTAAAAAAGAATAATGAAAAGAGTGTTCTTGTTGTATTTGGGACTTGGGAAGCTTTTTCTATGTACCAGCAAGCAGTTTCTTAGATGTGTTAGCTTAACAATGGCCTTAAATGTTAGCCAAGAGGCAAATTAAAGTAATTGTATTGACATACGAAAGTGTTTTTTTTGGGGTGTAGACAAGATTTAATCCTAATAGTTTAGTATGAGCATCTTTTGATATTCTAATCAGCTAACTTTGTCCCTTAACTTTTTACCTTTAATCTACAATGATCTAAGTAAATAAAGTAAAAATGTAAGTAAGAAATAGCATGTGATACTTCTAAAAAAAATAGTAGAGTTTGTGCTAAACGAGAGATTAAATAAAGTGAAATTCAAATTATAATTTAGCCCAAAAAATCTCCTATTTGGAGTATCTATTTTATGAATATTGTTTCTACCAAAACATAATGTGTCCAAACAACACAAAATTATAAAACAATAAAAAGTATAGATCCAAATTGATCAATTACCTACCCGAGAAATTTGTGGAGCTTAAGAACGTGGAAATATCGAAAATCCAATGGATGCTTTTCTTTATTCTACCAATTAAAAATTGTATGCTTGTTATAAAATGCATAAAATTTGGACCATCTACAATGGTTGAGAAGGACCATTCTAAAGTACCAAAATTAAGGGTTTGTTCTTGTTAAACCAAACAAAACACCCACGAAAACAGGGATATACATTTGACATACTTTACATATATATATTTATGTGGTTCTAGGTAAACACACTTTGACTAGAATCAACACAAACAAACAAACCCCAACAAAATTAAGCATTGGATCCGCTTTAATATCATTTCATTGTTGCATTGCTGAATTATAATGCTGACCAAGACTTCCTCTTAGCTCTAGGTGTTATGCTCTAGATGTTAATTAATAATTATAGATATAAGATTAACCCTATGCTTTCATTCCTTTTGCACCCTAGCTACTTATTATTCCTCCAGTTTAAGTGATCGGTAAATTCTATTGTACACTTCACTCTATAATTTTGTTTGGATCGTGCGATAGATAGATGTTATACACACACACCATTATTTACTTATTTTCCTCTTGTGTTTGTATCATTTAAGGTAGGTGTGGCGTTTGTTACACGTACAACAAAAATTTGATCAAAAATCGCATTTGCTCTATCGTCGTTGTAAATCCTAGGTAATACAACGCTAAATCAACTCCTCCAATAATATATATTTTAAAACAATAACCTTTTTATTAATAAATCACCTTTTATTGTTTTTTTTAGGTTTATAATAATGCTTCCTCCTTTTGGGAGGAAATTTTCTCCCTCGAAAGAAAGGGTTTCCGATCTCCTTCGTAAGACAAGGGTTTTCTACCTCCTTCGAAAGACAAGGTTTTTCTCCTCTTTTCGAGGGAGAAATTTCTTAGTTTTGAATCCATGGTAGCAGATCTAATGGATTGTCGTGCAATTATTTCGTTGGTGAAAAAGTTATCAAGTTTTCGAATACGAACAGATGAATCAAAAGGAAAACATCCTCACGGTTACAAAGGATCGTTAGATTGTCTCTCCAACAAGGCTGTAATTTTTAGCGATATAAGCGGGAGATGCTCCGCAATGTAAGATTTACTCGACGATCGTAGTTTTTATGAAGGAAAATTCTATTTGATTCAATATCTTATGTATTTGTTAACGTCGAATCTCTATTGTAGATGTCGTATGACTTTTAATTAATGAACCTAATTGTGCCGCACAAAGGTTGTATTAGTGTGTATACTTGAGATACTCCATATCTAAGCTACCAATATCCATATCCTTTTTTTGTCTTTGGATGTATGTATAAGAATGAATGATATAGATTACATTATGTATTTGAAAGATCAACGGTCTAAACAACCACAACCATACAACACAATCAAGATCTCACCTTTTATGAGTTCGGCGCCCGTGCGCATATCCATGCAAATTCATAAGTAGCGCGAGTATTATATGATTATGCGTACTTCATTACTTGGCCCCTCTACTAAACACCAAAACTATAGGTTATATAATATTATGTAACCATATTATTTTGCTATAAAGCTACACTTAAACTTGTGCAGAAAGTGCAACAACTAAACCTAAACCCCAGAAAATGGACATTCCCTGCATCTGGACTTTGATTTCTTTTGTCATTGCTACTGCATTTTCTCTCTCCTACATTTTCCATTTTCTTAGGAACACCAACCTCAAATTCATTACAACTATATCATTAAACCACCCTAAAACATCAACTACTAAAACTGCTTGTACTAGTACTACTACAACTACTAGTTGTACAACTAGTTCGACACTTCCTTTAGGTACCAATGGATGGCCAATACTCGGCGAAACCATGGAGTTTATCTCTTGTGCATATTCAGATCATCCTGAGAGTTTCATGGAGAAACGACGTCGTTTGTAAGTACCAGTCATACAAATTAACATTTATTGAATGCATTTTTTTTGAATTTATTTTAGAGATTTGGATACCCTTTGAGGTTAATTTTAATGGGTATTTTCGGTTTTTTGTGTTGTACAAGGTATGGTAAGGTGTTCAAGTCTCACATATTTGGGAAACAAACCATAATATCAACAGATGCAGAGGTGAACAAGTTTATATTACAAAGTGATGCA